AATAAAGACCAGAAAAGTGGGGAAGATGGGGACATCATCAGCATTAGGTATACTTTCCTATTTTTATGACTTTCTTACTTTTGTTATTATCACTATTATTATTGCTACTATTACTATTAGCAAACACTATCGCTGTTCTATCGCAAGAGAAAGACGAAAAGAAGGACCCGAATGGTGTGGTGGTGAACGCGTTAGCCCCCGGGAAGGGTAATACCGTGTTCGATCCCCATCGCAGCTGCCCGCGGTCCGGACTTTTGCAAATATCTTAGCATCACTGTAGTTGACTGTTGCTGCTATTATTTCTACTATTGTTGCTATTCTTATTATTATTCACTTAATGTTTAGAAGATTGCTTCATTTGTGGGCAGAGTGGTGATCTCATTGCATGCGGGAAAAAGTATTCTTCTGGAAGTCTTTGCACAACCAAATTCCATGAAAAGTGTATTGAGGTAGACAACTTTTTTAAAATGGTTACTTTTAAGTACTTTGATATGCATGTAATGTTCTAGGATTATAATGCTGCAGAGTATAGTGTGAACTGTTTGCGAAAGATTGTTGACGAAATCATCTGTCCCTTACACTTTTGTTCAACATGTTATCTGGAACGATGGAAAACGACTTCTGTCCGAGGTATATTCGGTTCCAAAATGTTACATTAATTGCTATGAATCAGCTCCCAACGGTTTACTTCCTCAACGTGGCTGGGAGGTGTTTCGCGATGTTCAGCAGGGCGATTCACCCCCTCCCTCCTCCCTTCACTCAGCTCCCCTTCAGCAGGGCCTCCTAAGCTGAGAAAGGAGTCCGATGTTTCCCCAACACCAGGATCTACCGCCATCTTAGCATCAAACTAGTCTCATGTTGGCAAATCTTCCTTTAATTCCTAAATGCGGCGACTGCCTGTGATGGTGACGACTTGAGGCAGACTTTGGCCTGGTTAACCTCGGGACTCCAGAAACTACAATGTTAAGCCGTCAAAGCTGCGAAAAAGTGGAAACTATTCTGGGTCCCGACAACCAGTGAGGACTGGTCATTTAAATATCCAAGTAAGTACGTTATGAATCTTCGAATTTGTTTTTATTTAAAGACAGTAATTCTTTCGCGAGGAAGTATAGTTTTGTTCTAAATTGGTACGGAATGCGACTTCTCAACTATGCATCGTTTTCGTTACTTCTGTATTTTGCAAAGAATTTTAGCCTAAGGTGAAGTTTTCTTACACTTCAATACATTTGAGATTGTGCTGGTTTTTGCTGATCTCCGCGCCCCAGACTCACCAAGACTTCCATCCCTCCTGGGTCGGCAAATTAGTACCAGACTTGTCTAGGAGGATATCAGCACTGACTCGATACATCGGTAGAGCATCACGAGTCATCGTAAAGGTCAGATATGCATTCAATCACCTCCAAACGATGCTTAATGAAGTCGAATGCGTGGTGCACTCCTGAGGAATTGGTTAACGCCGAGAGCTTTATCCTTTTATTTCTATCACTCTGATGGCATAAATAAGTAGCATTTGTTAAATGTTATTATAACTTCGAATCATCGAAGAGAAACGCCCACACATTGGAATTAATTTGTATATTCTGGGTTGTGTCACTCTTACGGAACGAGTGGTTGGATAACAAAAACTTGTTTAAAGACTGTTAAAAAGACGTTTTCAATTGCCATTCATGAGGACAAGCCGTTCTAAATCTCTAAGTAGATTTAGCAAGTCCTTCTTCCTAAAACAACTCATGCAAAGTTGGTTTCGTTATTGGGATCCTCTCTTTATCCGATATTTTTACAGGGCAGCTTGTAGAATGTGATTCCTGTTTTCGTTCCTTTCATGTTGAGTGCTCTCCGGCTGGTTTCCAAGTCTATGAAGATGTGGTGCCTGTGAGGACGAGAGAGGGAAATATAGTTAAGGTGAACCTATCGTACTCGTATTTGGTGCGCAGTGTTATTCATATTTCTCCTTTTAAGTATATTCTCTGTGCTTCATTAAATCACTGATTTTAATTGAACTATTTTGTTGTACCTTATAACGGTTTACCGTCTCATCGTTGCTAGGTGTTCCCTGCGTGTCGAGCTACGATATGCAGCGGGAGATTCATCCCCCAGCAGGGCCTCCTAAACTGACAAGAAGTCCAGCGTTTCCATCAGGAAGCCCAGCTAAGAGTAAACCAATAACAGAATCCGCCATTGTTTTGGTATCACACTAGTCTCATGGTGGCAAATCTCCCTGTGATCCACAAGGGCGGCTATTGCCTGTGGTGGTGATGACTTGCGGCAGACTTTAGCTAAGCTGGCCTCGGGACTCCTGGGAAACACCATGGCTAAACCAGCAAAATTCCGATAAACCATTGAGGAATGGCCGTCCAAGTAAGTATTTTGTTATATGGGTGCGTTTGGTCCATGTCGATCTACTCTAGAGAACTTCGAAGCGATGTTTGAAAATTACCCTTACTGGAACTCTACACTTTCATGTGTGACTGAGCCAACCTCCTATTATTTTGAAGTGCTTCCATCAGACTATTATTTGACCTACATGACCGTAATATGATTTTAGCGCATATTCCTATAATCATCTTTCACCTTAGAATTGTCAAGTTACGGAAATTCTTTTATAGGTCAAACAAGCATTCACACGTTGTCACTCGCACTGCGATACAAAACTGATTCCTCTGGTAGAGAACAAGCGATCGCACCTGCCATTCTGTTGTGAATGTGAAGTTACCGGTATCTTCTTAATTTTTATACATTTATTGTCATTTTATCCTTACATCTTCGTGTGCCGCTCTCATATTTCACATTTTCGTCGGAAATAAAATATAGTAAAGTGAAAGAGGGATAAATCTCTCAGCGTTGATCAATCCCTGAGAGATCCACCATGCATTCGACCTCATTAAGGATCGCTGAAGTTGATTGGATGCATATCTGGCTTTTACAGTGACTCTCAGTGGCCTGCAGATGTATAGAGGCAGTGCTGTTATCCTCCTAAACAAGTCTGGTACCAATTTAACGACCCAGGAAGGATAAATTGCTTGGTGGGCATAGTGCCCATGGATCGATCCCATGTGTATTGCAGAGCGTCTCCGACCACCGCGCTACACGCGCCTCTAATAGTGTAATAGAGTATAGTACAATGAATTACGTAAAGAAGTATAACCGTTTAGGAGGTAAATGTATAATCAAATCTCTTGCCTAAGTTCGCCTTTCTCACTCAAGTTACCTATTTTCTAAATTTCGTTTGTTCAGGAGAAGAACCTTTGCTGAGATGTTGCCAGTGTGTGAGATCATTTCATGAGAATTGTCTTACACTGACTTATCGAGATAACCATGGTTCGAGTACGGCAAATCGCCGTCCATTGTGCGAGTCGTGTATACTGGGCGAAACTCTTCGCATTGGGCAGGCTGTTATTGCAAAGTTTATAAATTCGTATGTTTATTCTTGTTCGTTTATCTTTGTTTGGTTTTGTTTATTACGTGTATTTTGCTCCATATTTTGAGTGTTTTTGCTTATCAAAATGGCATGGTGCTGCGCCAAAATAATTACAAAACGAACGAATGATGCGGTTATCTTAGAGTTGTTCGTAGAAGTGAAGTAGTAGTCGTTGTTGTATGAATGTTATTCAAAGCGTTTAGGTTCTATGCGGCAGTCATAACTAAGTTGGACGATTATCCAAAGCGTTGCATAAAAGTGTGAGCTTTTTGTTTACATTTTTAGGTATATCTCTTGTTTTTTTCTGTTCATCTCTTGTTCCATCCATGGTTTTTGACTAACTGTGGAGTGTCGTCATTTCTTTTCTGCTGCCTGTTTTTTTTAATGGATGGGTTTTGGGTGAAATATAGCCATAACGATGCTGAAGTATTTGCAAAGCTCCGAACAGCCAATGTCTGTGATACGCGCTATTGCCCTTTCCGGGGCTAACGCATTCTCCGTCGTACCATGCGGGCGCTTCGTTTCGCGTGTCTCTCAACCTTGTTCTTGACCTATAGGTGCTATCAGCAATTGTTCAACAGGATTGATCTGGGAGGCACAAATCGGCATTGAACCCAGTTAAGCTGAAGTTATGGTGTAAATTACATTGTCATCACTTTTTATTTACTGCGTCTTTGGCTGAGAGAAAGGTAAAATGGAGAACTCGTATAGTGTGGTGGTTAACGCGTTAACCCGGAAAGGGCAATAGCGTGTTTGGTTCCCACTGCAGACACTAGCTCTCTGGAGTTTTGGAGAAATCTCGGCTTCTTATGGTTACTGTGGTGGAGTCTTTCACATAATATTGAACTCGTTTTAGGGACAAGTACGGGAAATATTTTAATCAACCAGGCTACGTATCAGTTAAATGGGCAGGATGTGACAATTTGTTCCAATTATTACCTGCCAGATGTGTTGTGCCTATGTTCACAGGATCATATGAATTGATCGGAAAACGCGTTAAAGAGATTCCTTGCCGAGATGGTCTGTGTTATTGCATACATTACAGTGCGTCATTGCACAGAACATGTTCCTTTGGTGTGTTAGTGCTCCATTTTTAGCGTGGGAAGAGATGGAACGGGATCTTTGTCTGCCGCGGCCAACATTTGATTATATTCCGGAGAAGTATATCAAGATCAAGGTAAACTGCTTGACATCTCGTCGAACTTCTTAAAGTATTAGTTAACGCTAGGAGTTGTGAATTTTCTTCGTCATAAAGCTGTAACTTTGCTCGGAACAACTTTATATGTGCATCATTTTGACAGACATCCGTCTACCACCCAAGTTGTCCGAAACCACGACTTGATGGTTGTGAAGAGAGTGACAGTATGTGCGATTGTCCGGCCACTGATACCGATCGATGTGGTCCAAACTCGAAATGTACTAATCGCGCCATATTGCAAGAATGCCCTGAGGTAGCGTGATATTTGGAATCTACAGAACAGCAGTTTGCCTCTTTTAAATTCCATTCGAATCAGAATGTTAAATAAATGCAAGATTTCGTCTACATTTATATATTTCTTCATACATTTTTCAGGCATGCGAAGCAATTGGTGACGGTTGCCACAATAGGGGTGTTTCACGTAAGGAGATAAATCCTGCTATGGAGATACGCGAGGCACCAGGAAAGGGCATGGGAGCTTTTGCAGTTCGAGATATTCCCAAAGTAAGGATTTTTATTGTATTGATTAGGTTATGATTCTACCTTTATTAGGTGTTTAGTTGTTCTGTTTTGAAGCGGTGACCTAAGGTTTTTTGGTTTAATGGAACTTTAATTGCTCCTCGCGTTTATTTGCTGCAATACCGAGTTTAGCTGACGAATTTTTAGGGGTCATTTATAGCTGAGTATGCTGGCGAAATAATTAGTAATGAAGAGATGAATCGAAGAATAGCTGAAATTACTGCACATCGTAACGTTGAAGAGAAGCACTACATGATGGCATTGGATGGGCAGCGAATTATCGACTGTAAAGAAAAGGGTAATGAAGGAAGGTTCGAGTTTATAAATTCCTACTATTGTACAAGTTTTCAATGTTAGTCTTTGTAATGAGTGATTTTTTTTGCACACTGAACTAAAGAATTGATACTTTTGGGTTTCTCAATCACTCATGTAGTCCGAACTGTAAGGTCGAAACTGTGTACGTGGTCGTCAGCAAAACGAAGCGACCTAACGGAGTATCTGTGAAGGTTGGGACGTTTTAATCCTTCGTGCTATATTTTTTCTTTTCTTTGGACGGTCTATTATCCATTTTTTAGTATGACAAACGGATCACTATCTACACTACGGAAGATGTACGTGCTGGTAGGTTAGATTTCCTCGTTTATTTTATTCGTTTGCCTACAACTCGTTAAAAATGCGTGACTGAAAAATCGAGTGCGACGAAATCCAGAAGTTTGTTGGCTGTTATTAACGCATTCAAGATGATCCGGGTTTCTCAACATCCAAAGTACCAAAGGATTTAAACGCTACAGGTTTATTGTGAACGCTTTGTCCTGCAGCTACAAGGACATGTATTGTTTTTATCATTATTGAAAAATATTTCCACTTTAAATTCATTCGAAATTAGTGTCTTTTCTTTCAAAGGAAAAGGTCTAACTTGCACTTTTTATCTTTTCTATGCTAGCGCGGTATCTCCATACAGCGGCAATACATTCGGGAATACCATCGAGTCCCACTGGAGAAAATCTCATTTAACTAATAACTTATTTTCTCAAAAATAAGTTTTGACAGAAAAAAAACGAGGGAAAAGTTGTATGGACTGAAAGAAATCGGGATTTCGTTTTGGTAGGATACGGAATCTTATTTATCGAATGATTTTCAGCTGCTATCGGTTTTTATCTCCGTTACTAAACTTCACTATGAATTGAGATATGCTTATTTGAAGTTGGAATACTAAATTATTTTTGCAACATATGAATAGTATATGCTATATATCATCGGAAACCTGTTGAGAAAGTCAATATTTCCTCGATTTTGTGACTTTATAAATAGTTTAGAAGCCGAGATTTTTTATTCCCTTGTGCCTGCATAGTCTTAGGTATTTTGGATACTTGGATGGGCAGTCCTCAATGGTTGTGCGGGCTCCACCATATTCTCCACTTTTCGGAGTTTTGCTAGTTTAGTCGGTGCTTTCCTGGGGTCCCGAGGTCAGCCTGGCCAAAGTTTACCCCGGGGCGTCACCACCACAAGCATTCGCCGGACTTGTGGATCAGATGGAGATTGGCCACCATGCGACTTGTTTTATACCAGGACGGTGGTGAATTCTGGTATTCGCTTGCTGTTGACTGGACTTCCTGACGGAAACACCGGATTCCTCAGCCTGGGAGACCCTGCCGGAGGGACGAAAGTCCTCGCTGTACATCGCAGTTCGACACCCATGAACACCTCGCAGCCGCGGCGGGGCAGTAAACCGTTGAGTGTAGTCTTAGAACTCGAGAGATATGGGATTCTTATGTTAGAGTGGATTGTAAGATATGCATGAAAAATTGACTATATTTTAAGAAATTTGAGATATTAGCAGTGTAGAGGGTGCATTGGGCGCGTGTGGCGTAGTGATCGGAGGCGTCCTGCAACATACACGTGAAATCGATCCCCGCGCCCAAGGCCCACCAAGCCCTTCATACCTCCAGAGTCGGCAAATCGGTACCAGACTTGTCTAGGAGAATAGCAGCACTGGCTCGATACATCGGCAGGCCACTGGGCGTCATTGTAAAGGTCAGATATGCATTCCTTCACCTACAAACGATGCTTAATGAAGTCGAATGCATGACGCATCCCTCAGGGATTGATCAACGCCAAGAGTTTTATCTTCTTTTTATTAAAGGGTGCATGGAGGCGATGCAATCAGTATCTATGCCGTTTTATACCGCATAAGAAGCGTTGCTTGCATTACTGAAAGTTACATCAATACGTGACGACCGAGCTGTCTTTTCGACATTTGACTATAATTTTTTGATTACCAGATTATTTCAGAAGTTCGGAACCTCACCTAATTATAGAGTGGTCTATCACTTTAGGTGTCCATATGATTTTTTAGAATCATTCCTTCAACTTCAATTTTGTTTCGAATTGAAGTTTTCGAAAATTGAAGAAGGAACTTAATTTCTTAAAATTTTTGAAGCAAGAATGCCTGTCGCGGAGACTAACTATACATTGGAGAGCAGCAGTTCGTGATGCTGGTCGACTTCCTCCTTAATCACTTTATTTCGTATTAGAAGTGTAAATGCTGTCGTGAAAATGTGGTAGAAACGTGTCATACTACTTGGATACCTGGACGGTTCCTCATTGTTTGTACAGGACGCAGCATAATTTCCACTTTCTCGGGGTTTTCCTTGTTTAGCTTTTGTGGTTCCATGGAGTTCCGATGTCAGCTTGGCCAAAGTCTGCCTCAGGTCGTCACCACCACCGCCAAGAGCAGGCCTTGTGGATCAGAAGGAGGTTTGCCACCATGCAACTAATTCGATACCAGGACAGTGGTGGATCCTGGTTGGTACTGGTTGAGCGCGCCCAAGGCCCACTATCATCGGTTCCAGAAAGGCAGAATTCTAGTACAGTAGAAAAAAAGATTTGTTCCTTATAGGCAACGATCTATTCCTAACTTTTTATGTTACGATTGATAAATTCGAATATGAACTGAGCTATGTTGGTAAAAGTTGGAGAAGCACATTATTTTCGCATCGGTTGAGTGAATTCCATTTATGTTGGATTATTTGTTAAGGATTTCTTGAAGATGGTGTGGTTTTACAATTTATTCTTCTTGGAGGAAATTAAGGAGGCATTTTTGTAACAGAAAATCTTTCTTGTGCCAAGTTTGATCTCGTGAAGCCACGTCGATTGAGATTCTGTTAAGGTTCCGAGTTGTGTTTCAACTACCAGATGAGGCAGTACAATGTCGGATGCCCACTACCGGATTGTAAGTGTGGTGCACCGAATTGTACGGGTACATTGGGTTCGATTACTGGATCAGGTTCGCATTAGTATTTACGTTTTAGATATACAATTTGTATCTTACAAATTAATACTCGTTTTAGCACCAGATAAGGTGGAGTCAGACGCTATCTCGACTGATGTTGTTAAGCAAAGGCGAAACAAGCGGTTAAGTAAAAGTCCCCTTAGGCCAGAACCGACTGAGAAAAAGAAAAAGCCGTCAGTTGCCAAACGGGAACACGTTGAAAACCCTGCACATAGATCGTCTTCGGTCTCTCGCACTCTCGGAAAAAATCAGGAGTCCAGTCTGAATGAGCGACCGACCGTCATATTCAAGAGAGCTTTAGATTCCTCAAAGTCTCAGGTGGAATATAAAAAAGATTTTAGCCGTTGACTAATTTGTATGGTGCTGAATTTTAGTTGCATATTCGGGATACTCCTTCGCCGGTACGTCGGACAATGAATCGAAGAAGCAAACCAATTAATGGACTGAAGGGGCTGCATGGTGGAAGCGAAAGTAGTTAGTAATTCACTAAGGCGATGAATTTGTAGTCTTCTATTTTTAAATCGTTATCAGTTCCAGAGGATCCTTCTGAGAATGTCGTTGTCGACAAATTACTTAGTAGAGCACTCCTCAGAGGGTCGGTGAGTATTCAGTGTTTTTCTCACATTTTTAGGGGTGATCGAAACCATTCTCTTGTAGGCTTTGGAAACGTTTCCAAACAATGCGTCTTCACAAAAACTTGAAAACAACCGAGCAGTGGTCGGGAAAGTTAACGGTTGGTAGTAAGTGTTATTCAATTACCGTATCATTGACTCTGGATTATATTTTTTGTGTACAGAATCAAGGAGAACTCGGCGTATAGCAGAGCTTGGTCAATCAAATGGAACTGCGAGAGCAGAACAATGACAAAATTTTTTCTATGAGCTGATTCTGTTGTTTCATTCGTTATGTTCTAGGGTTCATCGTGAAAATTTCTGTATTAGCTTGTTATAGGGGATATTTCATGTTCTTCGATCATTAATGGATGAATTTACCTCAATCTGCCTTGGTACGTCTTTAACCTTCATTCCGTATAACTTGATGTTCATCCTGCCAGAAAACTTTTACTCATCACTGGCCATCGTTCTGTTTTGTATATCCTAAAAGTCTAGGTACCGTTCGCCTTTTTAACACTTATATGTTATTAATTGCACTTTCATATCCTTTTGTGTGGTTGATGATGATCTCACATAGGTTACAATCGCTGAGATTTGTGCACACGTATTGCGTTTATGGATTTACCTATGCAAGGCATGAATTCTAGTATATTGCATTTAAATGCTTTTTCAACGCTATTAAAGTTTAGGTTTAATAGGAAACAAAACATTAGGTCGCATTCAGATGCTGGTCGATTGGGCTGGATGTACCCACAATCTTTGTTTCATGGTTAAATTCTATACAGAGGCTGCAAAATATAGTGTGGTGACAAGCATGCGACCATAAGGCGTAAATGTAGTGACGTACCTACTTGGATGTTTGGATGGCCCGTATCCACTGCTGGTGCGGGCCACAGCATAATATTCATTTTTTCGGAGTTTTGCTGGTTCAGCCATTGTGGTTCCTTGGAGTCCCAAGGTCAGCCAGACCAAAGTCTGCCCCATGTCTTCACCACCACAGACAGTCGCCGCCATTGTAGATCAGAGGGGGATTTGCCACCGTGTGAGTGCTTTGATACCAAGACGGTGGTGGATCCTGGTATTAGTTTACTCTTAGCTGGGTTTCTTGATGAGAACACCGGACTCCTCAGCTTGGGAGACCCTGCTGCGGAACGAATTGCCGCGCTGGACATCGCAGTCCGACGCCCATGAACACCTCTCAGCCACGATTAGGCGGTGAACCAGTGACATATGGAAAAGAAACGTTGATTACGTGTTACGTAATGGTCTTCGTGAATTCATTTCGACCAGTACGTCTCTCAACTTCAGGTGACTTTGGACTGAGCGCCCAAACTTTGTTAGCCGAAATGAAAGTAAAGCATTCAGATCTCTACGCACAAAATGTAGCCTTTACTCATAGGGGTACTTTCTCTTTTCGAGATTTTCCTTCGGGAACTAGGTGGTCGAGTAAGCGGGATATCGTCCAGCAAACATAATGACTGAACAAGCTAGACGCATTGGTTGCACTGCACACGTCGCGGAAATTGGTTGTTCCTTTCGGCTGCGCAACGAAGATGTCGTAACGCAGAGTAAGCTTTGATTGGAATGAGAATTATTCAAATTTGCAGATTCGAGATACAAGTTGTTTTACCACGAAGCTTTACAGTCAATCCCTAAGTGATACGCCACGCATTCGACTTCATCAGGCCTTGTTACAGGTGATTGAACGCATATCTGGACTACACGATGACTCGCGGTGGCCTACGATGTATCGAGCCGGTGCTGTTGCCCTCCCAGACAGGTTTGGTACCAATTTGCCGACCTCAGAGCGATGGAGGTCTTCGTGAGCATGGAGCAACGAGTCGATCCCATGTGTATCATATGGCCTCTAATTACTGCGCTACACGCGCCCAACCATATTAAGGAAGTTTTTTAATTCCAGTTATCCTTTTCCCGTGGAATTTCGCATTTAGAACGGATGAAGAATTGAGCAATCCAGGTGTTCCAAAGCGGGAACGCTGTTGTGTTGGACGTGTTGTTGGTGTGTTTGGTATTAGCGCGACTATTTAAAATCTTGGAAAGTTGGAAGTGGAAAATTTGGATTTCTTTTACAATTACTGATGGGTTGAGATTTTAAATAGATTTGAAATCGGACGAAGATTCTAGGATTCATTTCTTTTCTCCGCAAACATCATCGACGAAGAGCCTGTGATTATTGTATGAATTCAGCACGCTTCATGAGTATTTCTTTGTTCTTTTGCATATCGCTGAAAAATGATCTAATCCATCCGCCCACGAATTCTAGGATAGTAGTGCTAGGGCGTTCCAGTGCCCTTGTCACAAGCTCTCGTCAGCTTTTATGGATAGGAGGTAGCAAATTGATTCCAGACGAGCATGGAAGACTCGATGGACCACGGTACCGACTTGTTTGTACTAATCGTTATCACTATAGCTGCACTACCCCCACCCCCAACTACTTGTAGCTATCAGAAAATCATGATTATCCATCACATATTATCGTTTATGGCTATCTTAATAATGTAAAGAATTTTAAAAACTTGAATTCTAAACAAGTACAACATTTTTAATTAGGGGCATAGAGTTTCTAGCATTCTTGTTCCATTCACACAATGACCCTGCTACTACGGATATACAACACGTCGACCGCGGAAAAGTAATTTCCACGGAATGTTTTGCAAAAGAAATTTCTCTCAAGAGTTTGTTCGTCTGGAATGAATTCAACAGTGGGAGACTGCAGTAAGGTGGGTGCTAAGTAAGCAGCATATTCCTCGTTCGTAGTTGTGGCGTTAAAGACACCGGAGAGCCAGTTCTTCAATCCATTGGTAAAGTAGGTCTTACCTTGTTTTGGCTTATGCTAATGACCTGAGATGGCGGAAAACTGCCGTAGTTATTTTGCGTTTCACTTTCGTAAACAAGATATCACTGTGTTATGAAGGCAGTGGCACAGAGTGTTTAAACATGTTATCGTTAGCACGAGAGATTTGTCGTTTTCTGGACAGCTTCGGGAAATTGAGTAATTCAAAGTATAGATTGCTTAGTGAATCAATAAGGACAGTAAGACTTTGGGCGGAGTAGAAAAGAAGTGTTTTTAACGAAATATGATGGCGTTTTCATCCCATTTGGGACGATCTGAATACGGCCACATGATTAAATTACGTTTCTTGAAATCATGAACTACTTTCTACTATACGTTATGGCTGAAGTTTTCTTTGTCCTCACTCTACAAAGATATGTCATAAGTACCGCAACATGGAAGAGAGGATAAGAGCAAATTGTATAAGTTGAGCAATTTAGACGTATACGAAGGCGAGAAGTTCTAGGACAACAATAAACAAGCTTAGAGTTAATTAAAGGATGAAGCATGTGCATGTAGCGCAGTGGTTAGAGGCGATCTGCAATACACATGGTGTCGGCCTCGCACCCCATGCCCACGAAGTTCTCCATCCTCCTGGGGTGGGGATATTGGTACAAGACCTGTTAGGAAGAATGGCTGCGCTGATTTCATACATCGGCACCGTGATTCATTGGATAAACTAGGTATGCATTGAATCACTTCCAACGACGATTAATGAAGTCGAATGCATGGCGCTTCCTTAAGGGATTGATCAATATGCACAATAATTACACTATGACTACACAATTGGAGAATATTTCTCTCTAAACGGTTTCAATGGTTCTATTTCTAAATGGAACTTAATGGTGAGAGTATGGTTGCAAATCATTTATACTATTTACAGCTGCCGCTGTTGTATCACTAGTATCTGCAGGACGAACATGAGGATTTTGTCAAATTATAGAGAATTTCAATGATGCTGAGATATTTGCAAAACTCCGGACCGCAAGTGTATGCGGTGGGGAACGAACACGCGCTGTTGTCCTTACCGGGTGTTCGTTCCCCACCGCATACACCTGCGGTCCGGAGTTTTGCAAATATCTCAGCATCATTGAAGTTATATTTCGCAATGTATATCCTGCCATTAAAAAGAATAGGCAGTAAATAATACGTTAAATTAAAGAGATTTTTTTACACCATCCTTCCAATGGTTTATCACCTCATCGTGGTTGGGAGGTGTTCCTGCGTGTCGGACTGCGATATACTGCGGGAGATTCGTTCTCCTGTCAGGGTCTTCCAAGGTGAGGAGTCCGGTGTTTCCATCAGGAAGCCGAACTAAGGGTAAACCAATACCAGAATCCACAACCGTGCTGGTATCAAAGTCGCATGGTGGCAAATCCGCGGGGGCTGTGACAGCCTGTCGTGGTGACGACCTGGGGTGGCCAGGCTGTCCTCGGGATTCCAGGGAACAACAATGACTTAACCAGCAAATCTCCGAAAAGTGGTGAATGTACTGAGGCCCGCACAACTAGTAGGGACGGGCCGTTCAAGTATCAAGTTCAAGTAAGTTTTGCAGCGTTGTATTCAGTCGTTGAGGGAATTTATTAAACGTCAGTCATTGTTAATAAATAGTATATCATAACAGCTTCATGTGTGTTTGTCAATGATGTAGCGAATTTCCTGTGAATTCCGAGGTTGGTAGAAGATGGGGGAACACCTTTATCTCCATTGAGAATTCTGAGCACTTGTTATCCTAAGTTCGGCTGTCGTCCATGACGGGAACCTTTCACAGTGTCCTGGTTGCAGCGATAAGGGGAAGAAAACGTAGTTTTTATGCCTCACACCCGTAGCTCAGGACATACCCAGAAGATATTATCGGGCTGGAAAAAAGGAGAGGTGCGACTGAGACATCTTAGGTGACTGGTGGCTACACATCCAGCTGCAGAACAATAAGGGAATATCGTCCATGTGATTAGCAAAACACGACATTTTGATTAATGGGATTAAATCACATTGCTTCTACTCCTTGTTATAATGAACGCATACTAACATCCTAACATAATACAAGCAAACGATTTATTAAGTCATCATGTAGAAGAAAGGAAGCCTTTTTTGGTGTAAAGCTATTGCCATGTGTTGACAAGTGAAATCTCATTGCATTGAGCAGTTTCGTTCAGCAAAATCATTCATTGGCACCAATAATTTTTCTTGACGAGCTATATTTACTTCATAAGCAGGATTTACTTGAAGTTTAACTGCTCAACAGGTTGTATTTCTTCGTTTCAGCAGAACTGTAACCTTTTCTGGTGAGATCGTTGTAGTTCCTTTCAGAATAAAAGTCTCCTGAAATGACATATTTGGACCATGGTTCTTGTTACAAAATTGCTGGGCTCAACCTGAAATTCATCACTTTTGACGTACGAGTTTTGTCTTTTCCCTTCCCCAAGAAGTGTTTCGCGCTCTTTTACTGTTTTTTTTTCTCTTTCACATGAAGCACCGGAAACAATATTAGTAGTCCAAACTTGCTAGAAATAATTACTTTCAGTCAAAGGCACCTACGTCTGTGTCTTTCGTTGCAACAATGTCAAATCGTTTTAGGAGGTGGGCCAGAACAAGCTTTTCTTCCATTAGAGCGAGTCGCATTCCGATGCATTGCCTTGGACCAATTCCAAACGAAAGAAAGGCAGCCAGCGGCCTTTCTGACGAGTTCAACCATCTGAATTATCGTTTTGTTAAAGTGCTTATTTTAGGACTTTCAGTAATGTCATGGATATCCGGGAGCGGGTTATTTTGAACAAAATTGCTTTAGGTTTCTATTTTAATTACACTAATATTGTAGCTGTGCACAAAACTACAGTGATATATATATATATATATATATATATATATATCAGTTGTACGACGTCTATCTGACTGTGGTGTGAGTCACACTTGCTCCATATAAGTGTCCGTTTGCCGTTGTCAGTGCAGGAATAGCGCAATTGATTCTGTTCACGTTATTGACTTGAAGGGTATTGTAATTATCTTCCAAGATCTTCGTGGATAAGTCTGTCTGCGAGCTCATAGGTTTTTCTGTACGTTTGACATAAAGAGGGGTTTCACTAACTGTTCTTGCCTAGCGCTTTGTTGTTAAGAGGCAACCACTGTCTGGCCGACCTAAATTTTGGCAATGGCATCTCCGACTGTTTCTGGATATGAGTCGTTGCCTTTGATTCCCACTCTCGATTTTTTATAGAGTTATCCTTTATTTAGCGCTGAGTGACCCTTGTTTATTGTGCTTACGTAGCGGACAGGCTTTCAATACATATTATATATATTAAAAGAAGAATAGTCGAAGTTTAAAAGAGATGGGTTTGGAATATCGTCAATCTCTGTTTTCGGACATTTCCCCGAGATCAGCTCTGGATTCAAGTCTATTCTGTTCTCAACATGGATACCGTGGCAGTGAGTACAACATCGCAATCCATTTCTCATGAACATCGTTTTCTTCAGGTTCGACTGATGAAGAAATTTCGCATAAGAATTACCAAAGCCGGTAAGCATCTTCCCGATTATTACTCGATGTCATAATAATGGCAGCATTAACTAAGCAAAGAAAAATTGAAAAAAAAAGAGGCAGATGCTTACACATTACAATTCGACAGCTACGAATCTCTACGATGATACGATGGCCAACCTCAGATACATCTATGCGTATTTATCCTTTTGTGCAATAGTGAAATCCTAGGATTTTCAAGAGGTCATTACGGTAAACTGCACCTTTCAGGGCAGAATTTGTCAGCGTCTTCGCCCCATAAGTTGTGGTCGTAATGAATCGAGAAAGTGTCAACCAGAACGAATTCTCCTTCTTTGACTTCCACATCTCCCAGTGTTGTGGATTTCATGCATTGACGTGAGTTCGCTCTGAAATGTACAAAATATTACAAGGAATGCACCAGATGGCGATGTTTGGTTACGGCGCATTGTGATGCTCTAACACTTCGTTAGTTAAAGGAGTATCAAAGCAGTGTATCTACTGTGGAATATATATGTATACCTACAATTCATATATATATATATATATATACATATGTAATAATTCATATATATACATATATATATGTATATATGAGTATACATATGTATACATACACATATATATATGAAGTTTTTTTTACTACCGAAGGCGTATATGGCGAAATGTTTACAGGTGCGTTGCTATACACATGTGATCGATGGTACGAACTCGGGCCCGAACAAACAAGGCCTCCGATCTTAAGGAATCGACAAAATGATATCAGACTTGTATGAAAGGATAAAAACACGGTCATGATACGTTGCCAGGCCGCCTCTAGTTATTGCTTAAGGCCAAGTATGCACTCAGTCACTTCTATGATGTCCAGCGCTTAGCGCGCGACACTCAGTTTTGTCGCTTCCACCTCGCGAGACGACGTCTGGTTTTTTGTCAAGTACGGATTAGAGAACTCATTCGCCATCCTAACTTAGCTCATAGTAAACAATATTGGTTTCTCGATACTGTAATTTTTCAATAAGTAGAATGATTGAGAGGTTGAGGATAGGACAGAATTACTGCTCTCACGATCTAGTGTTGTGCAAAACTTTCCAGAAGGCCTGCTTTTAGTTTGAGCCTATTTAAAATGCATGTGGTCTAAAACTCATTCAGTTTTCCTTTATAGTGCGAAAAATTCGTCTTGCTGACAAAGATCTCTGGATTTCGACAATTTTTATTCCAATTAATGACGGTCACTGGGTTGAGCTACGCTTGTTGGTTGCTTAATTGCTTTCGGGGACTTTTACTTGGATGTCAAGATCAGCGAGTATCGTTTCCTTAGATTGACAACAAATTGTTTTCAACAACCTCGACAAATTTTCTATAATTGTTTTCGCAGGAGGCGGCGTATGTAGTGTAGTGGTGAGAGGTGCTCTGCAATACACATGAGTTCGATCCCGCTTCCCAGGTTCACCAAACCTTTGATCTCGCCGGGGTCAGAAAATTGTTTCCACACCTGTCTGGGGCGACAGCAGCGCTGACCCGATACATCGACTGATACGGTAGGCCACGGCGAGTTATTGTATAGGCCAGATATGAGTTCATTCATCTCTAACGATGCGTAATGAAGTCGAATGCATGGTGCACCCCTCAGGAATTCATCAAACCCAGAAGCTTTATCTTTTATCCTCTTTATCTTCGCAGGAACCGGTATGCTTTTCTTCAGCTGCGGCTCTTTAAATACATTCTAAATGATCCGCCTATGTGTTATATAATGCACTTGCTTCGACCACGATGAACTCTTAATCCTGTTTGATACTTGGTACTTGTACTGCCCGTCCTCACTGATTGTGCGGTCTCCAGCATAATCACCATGTTTCGGAGATTTGCTGGTTAAGCCAATGCGGTTCCCCGGAATCCCGAGATTAGCTTGGCCGAAGTCTGCTCCAGGTCTTCACCACCACAGGCAGTCGCAGCCCCGGATCGGAAGGAGATTTGCCACCATGCCACTTTGATACCAGAACGTTGGTTTTGGTTTGCTCTTAGCCAGGCTTCTTGATGGAAACGCCAGACTCTTTCTCAGCTTGGGAGAGACCCTGACGGGGGACGAATCCACCGCTGCGCATCGCAGTCCGATACCCAGAAACACCTCCCATCCACGATTAGGAGGTAAACCGTTGCAAGGTAATTCTGTTTAATAGTGAGAAAGCTTAAAGCTCGAGAACACTGTGGAATCTCCTACGCTCCTTGTCGAAAGGTGATAGGAATAAATAGCAAGGGGGTGAAGGTGTCCGTGAAGAACTAGCAGTGAGTACAATGAGAATGCTTTGTCACTCAACCACGTCAGTAGCACTCATTGTGGTGCGAAATCATAAACGCTGTTTCAGTGCAGAAAATTGATTGATTTTTATACACAACTTTTGACTTTTCGTTGTAATATTAGTTGAAACCTTTTCGACGACAGGTTTGAAGAACCCTTCGTTGTAGATGAACCCCTCCACTTGAGAATAGAGATGTAGTTCCTTTTCACAGCTGACGTTCTTTTTCGACAATTCAATTGATAATATCGACCTTCTTTTGACGCAGAGTTTTAGGATGGCTAAGCATAGCGAAGAGTTCCCTTATTAAAACACGTGGATAATAGATTAGTGTTCGGCAAAGCCGTTTCATTCAATTCATTTCTTAAAAAATTTTTTTCTGTAAACAACAAACTTTTCTCGATTTGACTGGAGTGAGTCGGTCTTGTTTTTTCGCTCTAGTAATTTGATTATATGGAATTCAGTGTGACCTGATTTATTAGGAAAATGATCATCGACCTTTCAAAGAAATGGTTCGACGATGCAAATGTAGGACACGAAGGAATTTTCGCAGGGTTATGTGCACATGTCACTTTCATTCAGCTCAAAAAACGTCGTATCTAGGCCAACATTTAATCACTTCCTACTAGTTGATCTGCCTGACTTTGTAAACAATGGCGCCTACTATAGGAGGTTCTTAGAGTTGCTTGTTGCTGACTAACCGTTGTTTTCCTTCTACCTCCAAGACCTCTTTGCTAGAGCGCTAAGTTACTTGATTATTAGTCATCACAGATATACAGGATTATCATCGCATATAATGCAACGGCATTATTTTATTTACATTACTTCACGCAAAGTCTTCTGCAGAATCGCATACAACTCATTTTTTCTGCATTTGTCGTTCACAATGGTCTTCTGATTGTCGAGTGGGTTCGTCTGCTGCTTGATTCGATCTTCTCATGAACGCTGTTGAAGTAGACAACCGCCGTTGGCTGGCCTAGAGAGTTCCAAGGTGTTCACAACAGATGTTTTCCAGACTCTGTCGGTTGAAGCGAGTTTTTCGCAGAAGTTCCTGATTCTAATTTCGTGACCCCTGTGGGATGGGCGGCTTGCTTGGCCCGGTACACTGTCGAAGCAGCGACCTTGCATTAATTATTGAACAAAATCTCTAAGCACTGCGCTTTCTGCGAGTATACTAGACATATATAAATCTATATTTATAAAGTATGCTTACAAACTTACATGCTTGCTAGAGGATACATCCTAAGAGATTCTTTGATTACACAGTCGATGTACTTCATGTTTACTAGGGTTTCGTAGTCGATGGACTGTAATTGTTGGTTGGAATTACTGACACATGAAGGTTTATAAGAATAATCTTGCCAAGAATTGAGTGCTGCCGTGGAAATAAGGAAGGTCTCTGTTCTTACTATGCTGGCACAAGACTGCTGGCACAACATTGACTTCATATTGGTATTTTGCGGGAGTTCGAGTTTTCCAAAGCATGAATAGTTGCTACCGTCATTGGCCACATAATTATGTAGTACTCTCCTATATTAGCTGGAAAATATTATCTTTTTCTGTTTCACGACTGATACGGTTGGCGATGAGCAGAAGCTAGTTCGAAACAGTCCTGCTTATTATGAGTAATTTCATGTTTTGAAGGATGAACCTAAGGTTTACGACAGTGCTCAGTTCATGGTGTGGAAAATTCGACATGTTTGATCTAATGGGTAGACGAACCTCTTCGTGACAGTATTCATCGATTTCAGCCTGAAGTTTTTGCTGAACTGCTGGATATTTAGCCAATAGATACGTGATGTATGCAAGTGAAGTAGCAGTAGTTTCGAAACCCGCAAGAAGTAACACGAAGCACTGTGCGGGAATTTCACCCGGAGTCAGCTGTTTGGTTATCTGAAAATGCGTTGACATCGGGATTTGAAAAGGCTTTTGACTTTTTTTTGCTGAACCTTCATTCCTGTCTTTAAAAACTCCGCGTTATTATCGAAATTTTGCTCAGCTTTGACATCTAGGAAGAGATCGATGAAATCTGTGGCTTCCGGAGGCACTCCGTGAGTCGATTCATATCTTGCCTAAATGGTTATATCCTTGTTCAATGGGGTGAAACAGAGAGAAAAAACTGCGCCAAGTCTACTTGCCCTTTCGTCAATTCTCTCATCGACTTTCTTACAGATATTTCCAAAGATTTCAGGAATCTTATTTCCAATCGAACTTGCCAGAAATGCTTTTCTTAAATAAAGCGGTTATTTTACGCGATGCCAAGACCGACTTTTCACCTCTGCACTGATCAATAATTCGCTGTTTTTCTTGATGGACAATCACAAGGTTGCAATTAGAGCACTCGTCAATACACAATAACTGACGTTTCGGTGGTTTCACCTTCTTCATAGCCTGGAAGATCAATTTGACCTGCAATCTACTCAACTAAACATTTTCGTAACCTCAGAAGACAAAACTGAACATAAATTTTCATTCGTACAATGAACAGATTCCTTCACCATTTTGTTCGTTGTAAGACTTCCATCCAGAGACCAGCCGTACAGAGTATTACATGGGCGTTGAATGTGCATTGTAAGATGCAAGAATCAACTTGAGGTATGGTGCTAGTTCACGCATGATCACAAGACCCCTCTTGGTTCTTCTTTGAACTTTTCGAATTTATCCAAAATGTTTCTAGAGTTTTACATGCTGATGTTTTGGATTCCTATGCGAGGACAGTGACTATTACCTTAAAATCATCTCCGTTATGTTTCTGTGTCCTATGCGCTTCTAGTGGAGTATTTGGTTTCGACTTAAATTTACCGACAATGTGTTCTTTTACATGGACGCAGAGTGGTCTACCCGTTTCGCTTACGTGTTCGTCCAACACGCTTCAAAAGAGATTAAGTGCACCGTGACCCAACTGATGCAATCTCCGTCTCTACCGTTAGGGAATATTATGCAATTTTGCGTTGTACATAGACGGTCTCACATGGGCAGTTACGAACTAAGTGACATTTTAGAGTGTCCTCTGGTATTTCAATCACCGTTGCCGAATTCTCTAGAGGGGCCCTTCTTAGACGACGTTTCATAGCCGCAGTTGTTTCATTGAAAACAAAGGGCATGATAAACGGACCCATATTCTGGCAAGAATTATCGCTTGTGGACATGGTTTTTCCTCTAAATCCTATCCCGATGAGCTATCTTCGAACTATTCGAAATGCCTATTTGCCGCACCATTTTAACAGATTCTTCCTCCTGTTTTCTTCCCTTGCACGCACTGGCGGTTGTACTAAACATATTTCTTACAAGCGTCCTCTTGATGTGTGAGCGATGAGAGGAGAGGAAATGAATCAGTATATTGTTCTACTTGGCTTTTGATACCAGTTCATGATGTAACAGTTTTCGAATAGGTTAATTAGAGGTTTAAGAAATGAAAATCAATTTTCACTCTGACAGTTCGCTTAATAACTTAAAGCATTTGTCCATCTCCTCTTATGTGAAGCAGATGACAAATCAATAATCTATATATCTGGAGTAGAATAATGGCCGAAAAACGATTACTGGTGCTTTTAAGGCAAGATTTGGTACCAGTCGCCGTACCATTGTCAACACTGTAATTTCTGCGTAATATTTCGCGAAGTATCTGAAGATTAAGCAGTTAAGGCACATTTTTAGGAAGGCCATAAGCTGTTGAATCGAAAAGCCATACATGTTGATTACTTCGTGTTGCACAAGATTCTCGTGGATGGCTTGCATTGCGGAGTCATTCCACACTTTAGCATAAAGGGCGGTGACATCGAAGGATTCCGTGACATACGTGCTGTTAGGAAGCGCTTTGCTCAGAGCATCCAGAAACATTTGGGTATTCGTGACATGGGATTGTTTCCGGATCAGCAACTGGATGAGGATTAGGTTTATAAACCAAGCTATTCTATCCGTAAGCACGTCTACACAGATAAAGATGGGTCTAACCTTGAAAGTTGGCGGGTTCCATAGACGCCAGGTCATCAGTAGATACAAACTTACGAGTTTTGTTAAGTAAGTATAAGATGAGACATGGTGATGAACGAATTTTAAGCTGCGAAAGAACTGGAGATTTTAATCCTGCGGCACTTCGATCCACTCTGTTCGATTTTTATATTGATCTTTGGATTTCTTTTCAGCTGATGAGTGGAAGCGTCTTCGAATCCTTGCTTAAAGTTACTCTAACATTCGACCTAATAGAGCATAAAGGAGGCGAAACGTCAGAAACGTCAGCTATTGCGAATGAATAAATGCTGTATTGCGAACATCATTCTTGCTTATCAAGAAAAACAGTTAATTATTTTAGGTGAAATATAACTTGCATAATGCTAGAACTAAGATAGAACTAGCCTGAGAGACAGGCGAAACGGAGGACCCGCATGGTGTGGTGGTGAATGCGTTACTCCCCGGAAAGGACAATAGCGCGTTCGTTCCCCCACCCCATACACCTGCGGTCCGTAGTTTTGCAAATATCTCAGCATAATTAAAGTTATATTTCGCAACATTTCCTGCCGCTAAAAAAGAATAGGCAGTAAATAAAAAGGTTAAGATTATTTTAGGTGAAAATTGCAAATTAGCCTATCAGAAAACGGCTACATTACGAAGTGGTATCGAAAGCCAAGTAGTAAAAACATCCTAGTTCATTACCTCTCCTCTCATCCCTCTCACACGAAAAGGGCGCTTGTGAGAAACATGTATCGAACGGCTACCAGCGTGTGCACAGGAAGACAACAGAGAGAGGAGTCCCGGAACTTGGCGCCGCAAATAGCCATTTTTAATGGCTACGAAACCGCAGCTCCAGATAGGTGTAGAGGAAACCACAGGTACCCCAACGATAACTCTAGCGACAACAAGGTCCCGTTTATACTGCCCTTCATTTCAAATGAAGTAAGTGCAGCTATAAAACGCTGTTTAAGAAGGGCCAGTCTAGAGAATTCGCTAACGATAATCGAAATACCACCGAGTAATCTAAGGCGCCAGCTAGTTCGTAACCGCCTATACGACCGTCTATGTGCCGCGCAAAATTGCATAATATGTCCCAATGGTAGAGACGGTGACTGCATCAGTTCGGGTACAGTCTATCTGATCTCTTGGGGGACGAATACGTTGGCGAAACGGGTAGACCACTCTGCGTACGTATAAAAGAACACCTAGTCGACAAAGATAAAGCAATTATTCCGCTAGGATATTGGACAGTATATAAGCCTGTTATTCTGATGGGAGGAGCACATTACGCTTCCATGTGAATTCTGTGCGGTCGGTCTTCACGCGACATACTCAGTGGAAGACTCATAGAAAGCGGTGAGTGTGCAGAGCTATGCTAAATGTGATTGAAATCTTGGTTTAGCGTTTTCTCTGTTTGGTTATGGAGGTGTTTGGCAGAATGGATTGCTGTCGACTTGACCTTTCCAGGCTCTGAGGAAGGCGAAATCCGCCAAAACGTCAGCTTGTGCGTAAAAAAAGAAATAAAATAGCAACTCGTGTTTGCTGAACATAAGTAGAAAGATATTTTAGGTGAGTTTCAACGGCAAGAATGCCAACCAGATGTTTGTGGTCTAAACACTTTAGTGAAAAATCTAATCAGTGCGACTGTTCCTACCTTCTTCAAATGAGTTATGTGAATAATAGAGTCGCTTTTCACGTGTACTGAGCACTTATTTGAAATGTTATCCCTCAGTTCCCTTAGATTAATATCTGATTGGAACATTACCTTAATAACGGTCGAAGATTGGGAACAATCGTTGCGAGATAAATTATCGGGTGCCGTAGATTCAGCCGAAATATCTGTGAAACGATACACTAATTTTTTTTCCTGATTTTAACCTTTCCTTTATGAAAATACAATCTCTCGCCACGTATAAAAGTTCATGTTGTGTGAAATTTTCTCCTATTATTATGAAACTGACCGACTCGACATCCTTCACTCTCCTGTCATCAGTGAACATTTTCGAGCCCGTTTGTCCCAATGCGAGGCGGTAGATGACATCCATTGTAAACTCCTTGTAGAAACTTAACATTAATATTGTTATAAATCGTGTTCATCTGTTTGTTTACCATATAACCCTGAAATTCACTGAGTATGATGCATTTGGTTGAAAATAATACCAGCGCTAAACTTTAAACAAGTATATCTTAGCTCATACGAATTTTCTTGACTACAATAAAAGAATTTCCCAGGGATGACTTTCTTTAGCTTCGACGTTAACCAGTAATTCGCTGTTTTCTTGATGAGCAAACACGACGTTGCCATTACACCATTTATTCATTCACAATAGCTTAAGCTTCGGCGGTCTCGCCTTCCTGATGTTCTGTTAGGTCGAATGCTAAGGTACCCTTAGGCGGACAATTCGGAGAGTTGCTAAACTAGTCGCATAAATAAGCTTCAATGAAACAAAGAAACACTGCTTACGAAAGTGATAAGAGTCAAAGTAGTGTCGGTAAAGTGTCAGAAAACTCAGGAGTCACCGTGCTAGGAGGCATTACTCTCTCTGACAGCGCTAACTCATTGTAAAAATTGGGTTCGGCATTCTCACCAGCGCAACCCATTTCTAAAGAAACGTTGCATAGGATGGCCGTTTGCGCGAACTTCAAGATTGATTCCGTTACAAGGATAGACTAGACATGTTACAGGAAAACGAAAACAAGAAGGAGATATTCTTACCACCTCGTTTTCCACTAGTGTTTTTAAGTAAGACCCCATCGGCAAAGTAGACATCAATTTCCAGACAAATTTCCGGATCACCAAATGCTTCCGAAAGCCAAGTAACAAGAACCTACCACTTCACTACCTCTTCCCTTACCGCTCACAGACAGGAAGAGCGTTTGTGAAAAACATATTTCGAACAGCCACCACTGTGTGCACTAGAAGAGATCAGAAGGAAGAATCCGTGAAATTGCGCAGCAAATAGACATTTGTTTACGAAACTGTGGCTCCTCGGAATAGGTGTAGAAGAGAAACCACGCCCTTAAACGTTAATTCTAGCGAGAATACGGTCTCGTTTACCTTTTCCTTTGTTTCCAATAAGTGCAGCTATAGAACGCTGTCTAAGAAGGATCGCCCTAGAGAATTTGGAAACAGCGATTGAAATTAACCACCTATGTGGCCGTCTATGCAGAACCCAAAATTGCATAAGATCCCGAAATGGTGGGGACGATGATTGCATGAGTTCCCATAAGGTGAACCTCTGCTAAACGGTGTGAAGCCGAATACCTTGACGAAACGGGTAGCCACTATGTTTCCGTATAGGAGAACACGCAGACGGCAAGTATAGAGCGCAGTAGAGTGCTCTACTAGGCTCTCACAGAACAGAGATACACAATGGACACAATTTGCAAAACTCACCATCCTCCCACAGGAATCCAAGACATCAGCGCACAAAACTCCAGCAGCATTCTGGACAAATTCCAAAAATCAGAAAATGAAACCACAAGAAAGAGTGCCCCGTGATCGATTATCCGTGACCTCGCGACATATCTCAGGTTGATTCTTTGACCTGACTCAGACACATTCGTTATCCATGTAATGGCCAGTCTCCACCAATTGACTGAGAGTCTTACAACGAACAAAATGGTTGGTGTTTAAAAGAGTTTATTATTTGTATGGAAGTTCATGTGTGAAGTTTTATCTGCTAAGGAAATGAAAGTGTTAGGCTAAGTAGATTGCATGCCAATTTGACCTTTCAAAGCTCTAAAGAAGACGAAACCGTCGGAATACCAGCTACCATGAGGGAGTAACTGCTCAACCTCTTGTTTGATCATCGAGAAAATCCCGACTTGAAATACAAGTCACTAGAATCTGCAGATATTTGCCTACAAGTTGTATTATTTTACTCGGATGGAGTAATTTGTAGATTTTTTGGTCTCCGTGTGATGTACTTTCCAGAGCTTTCTTTTTCTTGTTAAGGTTTATTTTCGAATACGAAAGCAATTCATCAAGAAATGGGACCTTTAGTTGACCCGATGTGTGGTTGGAGCAGCGACCTGGCGTGGATTGTTGTACGACATCCTTGGTCACTGCTCTACTGGTGGACGTATGTGTATATGGATCTACATATTTGTTACAAAAATAATTTATAATTAATAATTATCTAATTATAATTAATACATAACAAATTAATAATTTATAAAGCCTATAATCCAAACGCAAAAGGAAGTGAACAAGCAGGCTCTTGTGTAACAGGACAAGGCGGTATTCCTCTTTGTATCGTTTTATCTTTAGTAGCAACTACGGCTCTTGTGCTGGGAATTTTAAAAGTTTAGATTTCCTTCTTTTTCTTTTTCGACTTTTTTTTCGATTTTTAGTCGCAAATGCATTTAAAGCTGAAAGAACTTTAACTTTCCCATTTTACTGCCTTCTACAATTTTGCACGGCGGGCTATTATATGGAATACAACCACAATGACGCTAAAATATTTGCAAAACTCCAGACCGTAAGTGTCTGCGGTGTGGATCGAACACACTATTACACTTTCCAGAGGCTAACGTTTTCACCACCACACTATGCTGATCTTTGTTTTATCTTTGTCTTAGCTAGTTTTCTGTTCGCTATTCATGCCTTTAATGCAGTAGAGCAAAGTATATTTTAAAAATCTATAGAAGTCTCGCCTTCTCAAATCTTTTCGCTAGTAATTGATAGGTTATCATCGGCCGTCGAAAAGCCAGCGTCACGCTTTATGTGTTAAAATAAACACCATGTTTTAAACTGAAAATCTGTTGAAGTAGACCACGTCAAGACTTGACGCGCTAATATGTAAGTGATGGATTCGTTGCTTTACACACTTCACACTACCTTTTTTTTATACGTCTATGTTCCGTTATACTTCTTATGTAATGATTTTACCCACGGAAAAATGTCGAATGGTTCCATGTTGGTTTCCTTGTTAAGCAGTTCCATCAACACATGAACTGAGTTTTCCACGATTGGGCGTATCTTGATTAAAATATATATGTATTCCTTATAATATGTCTCTATTTTATCCCAACATGATGCTCTACTCATCATAATATTCTTGCAGTGTGGAAAAAAGACATAAGTATGTTAGAGAAGATAGGTAGAAATTACAACATACTTTCTTCATTGAACCAGTCGAAAAAGCCGGGCTAGCAGCTGCTCTCAAACGTTTCCATCTCACACCACGTGCGGCGAAGAGATGTACATGGGGGTCGTTTTCGGGGTCTGGGCTTGTTACGATTCCCTTAAAGAGAATTGTTTGTTCAAGTTAATGAATTTTTGTGCAGAATAAGTGCTTTTCCTAGTGGGTCGAGAAGTAGCTCAATAGTAGTGCTATAATTTTTTCCTTCTATTACGTTTTTCAGTATCTGAATCGGACTTTTTATGCATGCATTTATTTATTGTTACTATTGCTATTTAATAATTTAATTCAAAGTGATATAAACTGTATTCAGAGTTTGGTCACATGACTTTTACTTATACCTAATGCAGTGATAAAATTCCAGACTTTTCGAGGTGATAAATTCGCATAGTTCACCATAAGTCTTTGTTTGATTTCCGAAGCATCACTCACACAGGAAGTTGTGAAGTGTTCAAGCAAGTGCTATTCGATAAGCACGAGGTCTATAGAGCTTGGTGGATCTTTCCAACGTAGGCTGTACGATGTGTGACGACGCGTTGTCGAAGAAAAAGATTCGTCCTTTTCTACTGAACAGTGCGGGAGGAGCTGTTGAATTCGCGCAATCCGTCAGTTCTTTGGACGTACTTCTCCGCCGTAATCGTCTCACCTGGATTCCGGAAGCGCTGCGGATTAAACCAGTGGTAGCGGTGATATTACCGAGTATTGGAGCTGTGCTTCTCTTCATGCTTTCTATTGCAACTCGAACTTCGGAAAGTAAAATTCCCGATGTTTTTCATTAGCGCAGATTTCGGGGTCCGAAACGGAAGTTATGGAGAGGTAAGGGTTGGTACAGGACTTTTCCGTTATCAATTCAATGTCATGGAGAAGCGTAGTGATTATTCCATCTTTATCTATCAGGGCGGACAGCGAAACATTATAGACATTATCAAGTATGTTAGATCTGTTCCAGTAGGGGCAAGCTTCAGTTTCCCAAATCTCGAGTAACTTTTTGGTGGTAATAGAGATGCGGTCTGAGTTTCTCTTTTAGGAAACTGAGGTGTGTTAGACACAAGTTTTAGTCCTTCGACAAGAAGCTTGTAGTGCTTGGTCAAGCCTTCGTTTATATGCCAATTAGATAATGGGCGGATTTCGTACAGAATATTCGCGTCATACACACACTATCTTGCTCTTCATGGACGACGACAAGATTTATTTTCGAGCTTATACTTGGATCAAGTCATTACATGGAGAAAATGGTGATTAGATCCAGTACACAGTGGTGGCACCACAGTGACATCAAAGTGGCGCCATCTTCTGTTTGTCAGAGTATGGTCGGTCCAAACAGTCGTGGCATTAGGAGATTTCCATGTCCATCGGCGATCTTCTTTCTTCCAGAAAAAAAGAAATTCCAATAGAAGAGACGTGCTCTGGACAAGAGTCCTACAAGACGGTTTTCGTTCCCATTTAAATTCGCGGTTCCAAGCTTCCAGCTACTGCATTTACTCGCCAAATGGATGCCAGACTTGCCTAAAGAAACATCATGCTATAAACAAAAGTCGGCAGCTGCCTGTGATGTAGACCTCGGATCACTGTAACAGAACTGTGCTGGTACTAGAGAAAATTATGCTTAGCTAGCACTGAGTGACATTCTTGGAAGGAGCACGATTATGAAATCCAGACACCTTCGTTTGCGACGGATGCTAAATAACGACCCGAGTGGAAGAATTGCTAGAATCCACACAACATTCCAAGATGAGTTGTATGGGTGAATAAAAAATGGCCTTTGCCTTTCTGTCTTTCCTTCTTCATCTTTTCCTGCTGCGTGCAGTAGCTGCTGCTTGCGTTACTCTGTTTTCAACCTGCCCAGAAACGAAATTCTAGAATTCTATGTACGCGCTACCGTAGACGTGATTGCCTTAGACTCTGAAGAGAACAAAATTGAGCAGGTAAGTTCAACTGCAATAGGTATCGTATAACAAGACAATATTGGCTCACTGCGAAGAAGAAATTCTGCGATCAATCTCAAGTCTATTTTATTATGATTTCACGGGGATTTCATTATTTATTGCTAACAGTGTCTTAAAATTGAAAGCTGACCTTTCGACCATGAAAATAATCAAATCTTGTGATGAAAAGCTCGTGGGCCATCTTAACATCGCTCACTACTAATGTTCTTCTGAGGCCTTCTTGGATTCCATATATCTTTCCGTATTTCTAGGAATGAAAACAAAACGCCCTGTCAGAAATTTGTGATGTGGATGCTAATCTAACGACCTATCACTTACTCTTGTCCACTTCCTAATGACGAATCCTGCAGGATTTATTCCGGTGTTTAAAGAGTTCATGTTACCGAAAAATGTCGTCGGCGTGGGACCAGGGATCCCTCGACGTTTCCAGTAGTCAAGCTGCCAATAATAGTAACTAAAACTTTTTGATTATTAGGTGACAGCAAGAAATGTAACAATCACTCTGTTCAGGCAGTCTCCTAATCATACTTTAGAAACTTCTTCAAATATCAGTTGAAAGGATATGGTTATTCCAACAAGTCACATCATTTGAAAACAATTGGCGATTTTCGTAACCCGATTTGGTATTCGAAATTAGCATAATAATGCGGAGAACCGCACTTTTACCAGGGTCACGCGGTTCACAAATCGCTTAAGATCATTAAAAATCCCGGCAGAGAGAAAGGAATGTATTCAATCTTATTAGAAACCTTGGATTTCATAACTCGATTAACCCTTTGGCGACGAAGATTGTTCTTAGTCTTTATGGATCTATAAATTACAATGTCCTCTATCGCAGTAGTTTTATGGATATTTCTTACGCAGTGTGCTTTCGGTTAAAGTATGTTTAGAACTCTTTCTTTCAAATTTCTAACAGTAAAACGGAAGCGCTGATCTACAAATGTGCTATCCCTCTCCCATCGACATACATACGCACACACTCGCACAGTTATTTGCTGGAAACAACGACTGATTTCCTAGCAATACAAAATCTCTGCTTAACAAGTGCCTAGATCCTCGCCGGGTGATTGCTGATGGCATCATTAAGGTAAAAAGACTGGCCGAAAGAAAGGCAGAACGGGAGTCTCAGTGATGTCGTGAGTAACACGGGTGCATCCAAAAAGGGTAATCGCGCTCGATACTCTTGAAAGCTCCGCAAGCCGCTCCTTTCCTTCTGCTCAACTCTGGAGCTAACTCGTTCAACATATTCATTTCCCGACCTAGATAGAGCATGGAGCACTCAGAGATATTCGTTCCACTGAGCGTGAATGGGGTATACGAAACCAATCCGTTCCTCATGAACATCGTTTCTGCGAGATTTCGTCGAAGACCAATCTTTCCACAGGCCCTGTTAAAGTCGGCAAGTATACGTTCAGCTTGGCTAATGCTTGGTGTTATAAGGACGATACCATCAGCAAAACGAAGATGGTGTAATTGCCGACCATCGACTTCCACTCTCATATTATCCCATTCCAATGTTCGCATGACGTTATGGAGAGTGGCGGTAAATAACTTTGGCGAGATGGTATCGCCTTGCTTAACTCCTCTTTTGACGTCGATATTATATCGCTGTAGAATGGTGATATCTTCGTTGTGAAATTTTTGTACAGCTCACGAAGAATCTTTATGTACTGAGTAGGGACTCTTTGACTATCAAGGGCTTCCATGATTTCTTTTATATCTCAGTTGAATCAAAGGCCTTTAAATCGGTGAGCAAGTGAGACAGAGCGGTCTTTTGCACTCTCGCAATACTTTAATGGTCTCATTATCGTGTAGATGTTTTTCATTGTACTAAATCCTTTTCGAAACCTTGCTTGCTCACATGGCTGTCTTTCGTTCAGTGTTCTGTCAATTCTGTTTGGGGTCACTCGAGTGAAAAGTTTGTAGACGACAGACAGCAGGCAGATTGGGCGATAGTTACCGATATCGTGGAGGTCACCCTTCTTGAACAATAACACGGTCTTGCTGGTCTTCCATTGAGTGGGGACCTTGCATTCAGGCTGGTGACGTGTGAAGAGCCGAGTCGGTATATTTACGACGACTGCCGGAATGTTCTTCAGGTGTTCTGATCTTATCCTGTCCGGACCTGATGCTATTCGATTTTTCACCGATGAAATGGCATGTCGGATTTCGGAAGGGAGAACCGGTGGTGAACATATGCATTCTACTCTATATCATATGAGGAGAGGTGGATGTGGCTATCGAATAAATCTGAGTAGTACTCGTGACTGATTTTCTCCGTTACCTTTCTGGACGCTATAACTGTTCCGTCTGTGCGTCGCAGTGCAATCATCTCGCTCTTGCAATTGACACAGCTTCGGTGGGCTTTGCGAATGCTTTTCCCAGCCTCTGCAGCTTTGACCATTACTGCTGCTCTTCTCTTTTTAAGATCCTCTTCTATCGCCTAGCTGCAATGTTTTGCAAGTTCGGAGGTTAGTTCGCGGTTGCCTGCAGCTCGTGTGTTTCTGGAGACAGACGTCTCTTGGTGACTTTCGAACTCTCAGCTTTCACAGCGCTAACGTGAAGATGTTTAATGAGACGATCATTTTCCTTATCGATGTTATCGACAACGGCATCTTTCCAACAGCCGACTAACAATTTGAATAAGTCTCAGTTTATGGTAGTTTTGGAACTTCGTTTTTTGAATTCAGCAGCTTTTTCTCCTTTCTGCGAGAAATGGGATCTTGCACGAAAGAGGCGATGGTCTGATTCAGTGTAAAATTTTGGAACAACAGCGACATCAGCTAGGCAAAACCTTCTGTTTACAATTATGTGGTCTATTTCGTTGTGCTAATCTGTTAATAAGAAAAGGAAATCTTTATAGGCGCAGTAAATGGTACATAACACTGGACGAACTCGTCCGTTAAGATTATTTCGTTTCTTGCAGATAACTTAAGCCCTGGTATCAAATTATTCGTATAATCAATCATTCTAAATAGTTTTGTGAGGTTTTCGAATCTGTTATAACTGACGAACCATATATATATATATATATATATATATATGTATATATATATGTATATATATATACTATTATAACTGACGAACCATATATATGTATATATATATATATGTATATATATATATAGAGAGAGAGGGATCAGAAAACTAATAGATATAATGAATGGTGAAAAGTAGGTATAAATCACAATACGTTTAGCAGTGATATGCTTACCTTATAACGAATATCACTGTCGAAAGAGCAGCAATGACAACGAGAATCATCACACTTATAGCAGAGAATGAAATGAGAGAATTCTGCAAAGGTGACGAATGATAATCTCCATGAGTTGTTCAGCTCTGTACTTATAGTTGCCTGATAATGAAAGTGATTCATGCTCTCCGTAGGGCCTTTCCGTCTTCGATAGGAAGGACTCCGCTTCCGCTTACCACTCTTAAACTGTGAACTCTTTATTTGTTGGCATTCACTATTTCTTTTTCGCCGCTGACATTATTTGCCTAGAATTGCCTGCATGTTCGGCTTAGATGTTGCACAGTGAGTCTGAACCTGTTCAAAAATTCACTGTTTCGTCGTTGGCGCTTTCTCACCTTATTTTTCGTAGATGTGTTTTGAATACTTCAGAGGATTTGTTTTTGGATCGGCTTACACTGAGAATTTTATCGGTTGACACAATTCGTAGCCAGCTTGTTCTGTTTCCTAATAAACATGCTTGGAAGTAGTCTTATCGCAGAATTCCACACGGTTTAACGGCTTTGATATCAGCTTGATGGAATTCAGCACATTTTATTGAATTTTTCTTCCCGAATAGCTATTGCTTACCATCACAGCATAATCGAAGAGCAAATGGGTTTCACTAGAAATCTTGCCACATTAGAAACGATGATTAGAATCGGTAATCGATTTAAATAACATGTGAATTGTACTGTACTGAAAGAAAGTGAATGTGAATTGTATTGTACTGAAAGTCGACGATGTTAGGATTAGTGAACGAAGAAAAATTTGAAAACAACTGCTACCATAAAATAAAACAGCTGACTTCGTTTTGTAACTACACTGGTTTAAGGAAATCCACCTATCCTACCNGTGAATTGTATTGTACTGAAAGTCGACGATGTTAGGATTAGTGAACGAAGAAAAATTGGAAAACAACTGCTACCATAAAATAAAACAGCTGACTTCGTTTTGTAACTACACTGGTTTAAGGAAATCCACCTATCCTACCTATTTACTTAGTATATGATACCTTATCACGGAGAAGATGGTGGCGCAGTGATTACTGATGCGTTCCGTTATAAAGTGAGGTTCTAGTTGGTCCCCTTCCAATGATTCCTCTATAATTTACGTGGGAATACCTTAGCTCGGCTCTTTGCAAAGGCGCAAAGAAGACCGAATCGACGCAGGTGAACGGCATTCGTGAAGAAGACGAAATCCCAAGCAGCAACTGAAAGAACACGCGGTGTGCTTGAAGGCTCTTTTTGGACTATCAATAAGTTGAAAGCGAGTCGAGTACAGGACATGCTAGAATCTGCATATTAGATGTGAGGACAAATCATATGGTAATAATGGCAATAACAGTCGAATAAGTAGGTGACCACCTCTAGTGAAACGACAATGGATATATCGTTTTCTGAAAGTATGGTTAAGCTCAACAAAGGGGTACACTGCGAGTTAAGAAATGAGTACGCATTCACTGGAATTGATGCAAAGATGCATAGTCCCACCTTTAAGATAAAGTTGGCAGCGTACTATGTGGAAAAGAAAGAGCGAGTCATTCGAATTCAACTTGCACCGATGAAAGAGTGTAAGCTGGGGTACTCTTTTCAAAGTAAGTTGATATGCTTCTTTGGTTTTCGAGGATAGATAGGTATACAGACACAGAGAGATAGAGATGCAAGGATGCCGATAAATACATAAACTATCTGTTCGGAATGGCTCGTTTCAAGGGATAATAGCCAATCGCCTTTGATTTTAAAAAAAATTTGTCGAACTTCTCCCGGATTTTCTGCATTGGAACAAGCTGGGGTGTCGAATGTGTGGTAGCCGTTTCTTATTGTATTGCTTGCGCTTAATAATTGAAAAACTTAAATCCAGGTTCTCGTGAGCTAGAGTTCGAGAAAGCTTTAACGCCAAACGACCCTTCCAGAGAAGCGTATGGTATGCTTCAAGCCCCTGAACAAAAGCTGCTGTTTAGGTCTATCATGTTTTCAACTATTTAACTCCTCTCTCTTGTAGGTCATCAACTCGGAACAATCCTGTTTTGAAGAAGACGTGACTTCAAGATGTTAAAAGCTCTCGGCGTTGATCAGTCCCTGAGGGATGCGTCATGCATTCGACTTCATTAAGTACCGTTAGGAGATAATTGAATGCATATCCGGCCTTTAGAATGACTCGCGGTGGCCTATCTATCTATTGAACCAGTGCTGCTAACTGCAAGACAGGTTTGTTGCCAATTTGCCGATCATGGAGGGATGGAAGGCTTAGTGGACCATGGGCGCGGGGATCAATTCCATGTGTGTGTTGCAGATGCCTCCGACCACCGCGCCACACGCGCCACGTCGATGTATTACGCGAGTAAATACTTTTTATAATAAGCCTCGTAACGGTTCAATAGTCCAAATAAGTATTGTTTATTTATGCCGAAGCTAAATAACAGTCGCTTTTAGAGACGCACTCTATGTTTATCGCAAACTATCGGTAGTTATAAAATAAACCAGCATTCTTCATATTCTTCTTGAGCAAACGCGAACTGTCATTTTATTCTTTATTTAAGAATAAGCTGACATTTAGGCGGAACCCGCCTTCCTCAGAGCTTGGAAAGGACACGTTAACCGCAATCTACCCACCCGAACACTTCAATAACCAAACAGAGTAATTGCTAAACCAAGATTTCAATCACATTGAACAGAGAATGGCTTCATCGCATACTCACCGCTTTCTATGAGTCTTCCACTGAATATGACACGTGGAGACCAACCGCACAGAGTTTATATGGAAGCGTAATGTGCCTGTCACATCAAAACAGTAGTCTTAAATACTGCCCAATATCACGCGTGATTACGAGGCATTCCTCCTGGCGGTTCATTTTCGGATTCTTGGAATTAATCCAGAATGTCTCAAGAATTTTGCGCGCTTGTATTTTCGACCCCTGTGCGAAGATCGTCACTTCTACTTCAAGATCTTCCCCATTATGTCTCCGTGTCCTATGGTGCCTAGCGGGATATTTGGTTTAGCTTTATGTTTACCGGCTACATGTCCTTCCATAAGGCTGCGGAGAGGTCTACCAGTTTCGCGAATGTATTCGTATCCGCACGCCTTACAGGAGATCAGATAAACTGTACCCGAACTCATGCTTATTGCGTTTCTACCATTAGGACAAATTATGCAATTCTGCGTTGTACATAGACGGTCATAAAGGCGATTGCGAAATAGTTGGCTTTTTAGAGTGCTCGTTGGTATTTCGAACTAAACCGGCCTTTCTTATTACAGCTTATTACAGCTGCACTTAATTCATTTGAGATAAAGGGCAGGATAAACGGGATATAAGGTTTTTGTTATGGCTTGAGTTATCGTCTGGAGGCATGAGCTTTCTTCTATACCTGCCGCGAGGAGCTAAAGTTTCGTAACCATTGGAAATGGCTGTTTCCCGGGCCAGTTTTCGACATTCTTCCTTCTGCTCTCTTCCTGCACACACACTGGTGGCTCTTCGAAACGTGTTTCTCACAGGCGCCCTTTTCGTGTGAAAGGGATAAGAGGAGAGGTAATGAACCTAGATGTTTTTACTACTTGGCTTTCGATGCTATTTCGTAATGTAGCCGTTTTCTGATAGGTGAATTTGCACGTTCAGAAATGGAAGCCAGTTTTCTTTCGGTTTCTCTAGGGCGAACTTGATACACTCTGGCAGTTCGTTTAACAACTCGAAACACTCGTCCATCTAATCTTGCGCTGAGGAAGGGCAAAGCAGTCGTCTATATATCTACAGTATAGTAACGGCTCAAAACCGGTTACTGGTGCTTCCACATTAAACGTAAATGCAATAGCAAGGCACGGAACCACTCGCCTGTCCCATTGACAACCCTTTTATTTGAGCGTAGTACTCTCCGGACCATCTGAAGATTGAGCAGTTTAATCATTCTTTTAAGAGTGCCATCAAGTGCTATATCGTGAAGCCAGATATGTTTATTGCTCTTTGGTGATGTACAAGGAGTTCGAATATCGCTTCAAAAGCGAATTAATTCGACACGTATGTATAAAGGACGGCAATGTCGAAAGACTGCATAATGTACGCGCTGTTGAGCTCGCCCAATATGTCGACGATCCAGAAATATCTGGGCATAAGTAAGATGGGCTAAAATATGTTTCAAACAGCGGGTAAATATTAAGGTTAAAAACCACGTCATCCTATCCGTTCGTGGTAGGTCTAACCTAAAACCATTAAGGATCAGTAGAAGTAAGATTGTGGCTGGATACTAACTCATGAGTTTTATAACCAAGTCCAGCTCGAAATAAACCCCTTCTGAGCGAAACTCGTGAAAACATCAAACCTGCGCTAAACTTTGAAGCCGTTTTGCGAGCAAAACTCACGAAACTCACGAAAAACGTCAAAGGCGCGCTAAGCCGGGAAGTGGTTTTCTGAGTGGAACCATCAAAAAACGCCTTACGTGCGATAATCATTCCGATAAGCGCATCTTGAGCGGAAATCTCGCAAATCCTCTGAAGCCCGATGAAAAGCCAAATAGGGGTTTCCAGAGCGAAACTCTCGAAAAACGTGAAATGTGCACTGAAAATTGAAACAAGCGTTTTCCTAGCGAAGATAACGAAGCTCACGAAAAACGTTAAACGTGCGCAAACCTGGAAACAGGAATTTTCTGAGCGAAATTCGCGAAACTCGCGATAAACGTCAAATGTGCACTAAACCTCGAAATACGCGTTTCCTGAGCGAAACTACAGAAAAACCTCTGACGTGTACTAAACCGTGAAATAAGCGCGTCCTGAGCGAAACTCTCGAAGTACCTCTGACGAGCACTAAACCGTGAGATTAGCGTTTTCTGACCGAAGCTCAAAAAAACTTCTCACGTTCACTAAGTCGCGAAAGAAGCGTTTCCTGAGCGAAACTGCCGGAAATCGTCTAACGGGCACTTAACCGTGAAATAAGCGTTTCTTGAGCGAAACTCTCAAAAAAACCTCTGACGTGCACTGAACCGTGAAACTAACGTTCCATTAGTGAAGCTCTCAAAAGACCTCTGACGTGCACTAAACCGTGAAATAAGCGTTTCTCGAGCGAAACTGCCGGAAATCGTCTAACGTGCACTTAACCGTGAAATAAGCTTTTCCTGAGCGAAACTCTCAAGAAAGGCCTTACTTGCCTTAATCGCTAAATCGTGCATGGATATTCTTAAACTTCAGATTTATTCATTCATTCACTCGTATAAATTGAGGGAAATTTAGGTAGTAGTACATCTACAGGTATTGTTTTCCAGCACTTGAACAAGTCGTGTGCATCGCATTAATGATCTTCTCCGAAACACCGATTTTCGTGCACAGATTGTTCAGCATGTAGATGTACTTCAGGGCGTAGTCGAATTGAAATTGGAAAAAGACAATCATTCACAGCTGCAAAGTGTTAACTTCACGCTGTTGCGCCGCTGGATAATTCGCTTTGGAAGTGTGATTTCACGTCGATCATCTCGAGAAGTTTAGCTGACAAGTCATTGAGCGGTTTAACTTCATTGTCGCTTTACGACTAGTTAAGCAATAGTTCGTGTTTAATAACATACAAATATTTCGCGCATGATAACTTATTCCTGCCTGGACTAGGCCAACCAGGCGCGCATCGCTTCGGGATCGAGGAATTGGTAGCAGAACTGTCTAGAGAGCACTGCAATGTATCCATTAAAGCTGATGATTGGCTTTAGAGAAAATCTGGGGTTGTCCCAGGCCCAACTGTCATAGAATTTAAAAAAGGCTCTGCTCGTTCAACCTACAATTACAGTCATGATGAAGACTTTTTCTACAGGCGTCAGAGCTCTTTAAGACCTTATCAATAGCAGTCGCATGGATTAAACGGTTTTCTTTCCTTCTTCCTGCTGCTACTATTTTTTCTATTGTATCGATTCCTCTGATTGCAGTGACTACAGGGATTTATTAACCAAACAATAGCACTCAGATTAACAGTCGGAGAATAGCAGCAGTTAATGTTAACTTTTTTGTTTACTGCCTCGTATTACTTTTCACGGCAAAATATGATGTGAAATGCGGCCACTATGACGCTGAGATATTTGCAAAACTTAAGGCCGCAGGAATCAACTGTGGGTATCGAACCCCGCTATTACCCTTTCCGGGGCTAACGTATTCACCATCACATCATGCGATTCCTCCGTTTCGCCTTTGGTTGGCCCAGTTCTCCACCTAATGCTGCCGTCAGCATTCACCCTTCAAGGGTACTATGTCTGTAACATTTAATTTGCAATAAAGTAAGTCTCTTCAAAATGATCACGATTATCTCGAATGTTAGAGCTTGTCTGGCTCAATTATGAGCTAGCTAATAGATGAAATGTAATTTCCTTTTATGTTCTAGCTGATTGAAATGTGATACGTTTGCAAATACCTTGTAGAATTTCAGTATGTTCACTAACTAAAATTCAGAGCTTTGTCCACAATTAGTTCAAAACGGTGTTACCTTGTTCACGTCGATGCAAATTGTGTCAAACGCCTTCACCATGTCGTTATGGCACTTTGGGTCCTTGACAGCATTTCGTTCCTCTAATATCTATTCCCTGGATTTTTAATATTTCAATGATTGCAGTAAGAATGAAACTGCTAATCAGACAATATTTCGAAATATTACTACGCTTTGTGCTAGCTGTTAAAAACACCGACTTCTGCACGATGTGCGCAATGATGTATGTCCGGAAAAAATACAAGTTGTTACCACCGGACATTATCACTATATCCACCATCAGCATCGTGTATAAAAGAGCATCACTGAGTGAGGATACCTCATTCGAGAAGATGGCTCACTGAGGAAGACCTGACTCGACACGAAGGCGAAGCTGCAACGTCGAGACGAATAACAAGCGAGGACCATCGACTCGGATCATCCGCCGAAAATAAATATCATTATCGACCCCGTGTAAGCTCATCAAAGAAAGAATACAAATTAATCAAACAATAGTTTATTAGGACAGGTTTGTGAGAGTGGAGCAAGATAACAGCACCTTTCGTTGACGTAGGGAAGAAGATTTGCGACAAGACCATTGTATAGAGCTTCAATATTGCGTCTATCCTGAAAGCTTGCTATAAACGAAAACAAGGATGATGACCTCTACGGCTGCTTCTGATGAACACCTGGAAAATTTCTTGTAGACCTACACATACATGAGAAAGGCCATGAAAAAGACGTAGGCCTCAGGTGGCAGTTAAACCCACACACAACTTCGAATATATCCATAAATATGAGCAAGTTCGACATGTTCAAGCGCCCTGTATATGGTGCGCGGAATTTTTGATATATTTAAAGTATTAGCACATTTCGCTACTGCATAACAGAGTGCTGGAGGACTGCTGAATGGAAAAGGTGGACCCCACAGTTTTCGGTTCGTTAGTTGGTTGACGGCTTGTTCGCGTGGTACGAATAAGTGTAATGCTGCTTTCCTTTTTTCTCTAATTGTTCCTTAATACTGCTTTCCACATTTATTGAAAGTCCAAGACGCACGTGCGAAGTGGTGTCTGCAATCAGGAAACCATCCAGTTCGATTGGTTCGCCTTCGCACTATGAATTTTTCATACACTTTGTCATCCTCTGGTTTACTTGTAGACCGACTTTTTCGCCTCTTTATTTGTTATATATAGCAGCGTCTATGCTTCGTTGGTATTATATCTCTTTACTTCTTGATTAGATGAAGACCTCTACATTAAAACGCAGATATGAAAGGCGTTTTTCATCAATACCTATGCCTTTCTTGTACCAATCGAGTGACTTCGTTTTCTCCTGCAATGCTGCAGTAAACAGCTTTAGAGACACCGCGTCGCTTTGTTGAAGCCTTTTTCTTATAAGTATGGTAAGGTATTGGTGAAAATTTGTCTTTCATGGAGGAGTTCAGATAACGGTAAAATAGAGTCCTTATGTAAGACGGATCCACACCCTAGTCGACAAGGATTGTATTCGTTTCGACGCCGTCAAACGCTTTTCATATCTTAACCCTTTTATTTACTGCCTTTTTCTTTCAATTCAATCTTTCAAATCAATGCTGATTTAGGCTCCCCAGATCAATTCCGTTGATGGGTGATTGCTGATGGCAAAAAGATCAATAGAACTAGCTGAGAGACACGCGAAACGAAGGACCTGGATGGTGTGGTGGCGAAGTGCGCTACTCCTCGCTAAGGACAATAGCGCGTTCGTTCCCCACCGCATACACCTGCGGTCCGGAGTTTTGCAAATATCTCAGCATTATAGACGAGCTTTTCATATCGATGAAAGCTATGACTAACGCATGTGGTATTCCCAACAAACTTTTATGTTCCTCGATTTTGGTTTAACCATGGTCCATGCAGCAGAGTCACTGTCGGAAACCTGCTTGCAGAACTAGTTGTACCTCTTCCATTGTCTTTGACATGTGCAAAAGGATAGTTTTCATAAACGGCTTTTAGGGTACACTCAACAAGCATATCGGACAGTAGTTACAAAGACTCCTACGGTTACCCCTCTCAGATGGGATGACAGTGGGCAGCATCCCTCACGGTTCGAATTTCACTCATTTTGAAAACTAGATGATACGGCGTAATAGTAAGCACTTTTGTTACGGACGATGGGCCATGACATTTCAGTTCGTTGCCAATAATGGATAGCATACTGGAGAAACACGTCAAGGTTGCAAGTATTGCAGAATCGAAAACATGGACTCTTGCTTAAAGATCATTCACCTCTGGATCGAGCAATAGCAGATGCAAGTACTACTAGTAAATCCTTAGAAAATTTCGTACTTTCGAGCCTCATAAACTTCTACCTAAGTCAAAACGTTCACTGACTAATCACTTTGGGCTTTGTCTATGTGGTAGTGTTGTTCTCTTATATCTAATACAGACTTACATCTGTGGCATACTTTGTTTCATTAGTCATTGAAAAGAATTTTCCAATACGGCTTGCATTATGCTGAAAAATTAACAAAATAGAACTGTACCACTTTAGAGTTTTGCATCCAGTTTACCGAGAATAGGTCACCAAGACATGGTAGATTCATGTCATTGTCGCAATACGTGCCCCACGATGACTCGTAAGGATTCGCTGCCGTCATGGCGTATACTCAAGGAGAAAACAATTATCTTTAATGAAACACTTTCAATATTATAAGTATCATGGCAACAAGTCGCGTGGAAAAGTGGATATTTTGGCGCAGCTTCGTATATAGTAGACTGGCTAGGCACACGTGCTGTTTTATGGACTGATCCTCGCGTATGTGCTCTACGCGCAGCGAAGCGCGTCCCTGTCCGATGTTTCGTCTTGTTTTATTTAGCGCTGCTCAATCACAAATGAACTTTCGAAGGACCGAGACTTCGAGAGGAAATTAAATTCTTAATTTTCTTCGTATTTTTATTGAACAAACGCGAGGTGTTATTATTCTTTGTTCACGATTAAGCTGACGTTTCGGCGGATTTCGCCTTCCTCAGAGCCTGGAAAGGTCAAGTTGATAGCGATCTACTCGGCCAGACGCCTCCATAACCAAACAAAGAAACCCCAAACCAAGATTTCAATCACACTGAACACAGCTTTGCACACTCACCGCTTCCTATGAGGTTTCCACTAAGTATGTCACGTAGAGACCAACCGCACAGAAATCACATGGAAGTATAATGTGCCCCTCAAATCAGAAAAGCAGTTTTATACACTGCCCTATATCACGCGTGATAATGAGGCATTCTTCCCTGCGGTTCATTTTCGGATTTCTGGAATTAATCCAGAGTGCCTCGAGAGTTTTTCGCGCCTGTGTTCTTGATTCGCGTGCGAGAATCGTGACACATACTTCGAAGTCGTCCCGTTATGTCTCTAGGTCCTATTCGTGCCTAGCGGTGTATTTGGTCTATTATTGCCGGCTAGGTGTTCTTTCATGCGGACACAGAGGTGTCTACCCGTTTCGCCAATGTATTCGTCACCACACGTCTTACAGGAGATCAGATAAACTATACCCGAGCTCATGCAATCACCGTCTCTTCCACTGGGGCAAATTATGCAATTTTGAGTTGTACATAGACGGTCACATAGGCGGTTACGGACTAGCTGGCGCTTAAGATTACTCGGTGGTATTTCAACTACGCTCACCGAATTCTCTAAGCCCGCCCTTCTTAAGCAGCGTTTTATAGCTGTACTTATATCATTTGAGATGAAGGGTAGGATAAACGAAACCCCTCTATCGCTAGAGTTGTCGTTTGGAGGGCTACGATTTCCTCTACACCTATCCTGAGCTACAGTTTCGTAGCCATTAGAAATGGCTATTTGCCGTGCCAAGTTCCGGGACTCCTCTCTCTGCTCTCTTCCCGTGCACATGTTGGTTGCTGTTCGAAACATGTTTCTTATAAGCGCCCTTTTCGTGTGAGAGGGGTGAGAGAAGAGGTAATGAACCAAGATGTTTTTACTACTTGGCTTTCGGTACCACTTTGTAATGTAGCCATTTTCTGATAGGTGAATTTGTACGTTCAAAAATGGAAGCCGTTTTTCTTTCGGGTTTTCTCAGGTGAACTTGATATACTCTGACTGTGCGTTTAACAATTCGAAGCATTTGTCCATTTCTTCTTGTGTTGAGCAAAGGATTCTTAATTATGAAGCAAATTGTTAAAACTAACTATTCATTTGTTTCTGGAGTGTTCCATCAAACATTGAACCACTTTCACATGCCTCCAGTTAAAACACTAGTTGATAGTAGCGCTTTTCATCGTACATTTCATTAAGCGCCATGTTTAAATCGTCTTGCGATAACTGAAATTTAACGCGTTAGTGAGCAGACATTTACTCACACCGTTTAAATTGTCAGCGGCTTGCTTAAACGGCGCGGAAAGCAAATTTTCTAAGCATCTTACGACATCATCTGGGAAGCAAACTATGCCATCAGCGCCATGATCGGTGAAGTAGACGAAGATGCGGTCATTCGCGGTGCTGAATTCATGGATTAGAGAATTTCCCTCTCGCATGTCCTGGTTTCAATTAGGATTCATTTCTCACCTATTAATGACGCGTCCACTGCCACCAGTTACATTCTGTGCATTACCCTTGAGAAGATTTAGGAAATTTGCGGGTTTGACCGAATCACCCTGAAGAAAAGTTGAAAAAGTTGATCAATCTACCTGCTGTAAAGTGTACAACTGAGTCCATAATCGTCCGCCTAATAGTTGCTCTTCGAAGAAGAAGCTACGGAAAGGTTTACTGAATGTCAAAATCTCAGTCAAGTTGGACTTACACTGTAGTCGATTTTCACTCCATGATAGACATCAGGCCTATGTGGTCGGTTAAAAAGTTTTCCAGGATAAGGATTGCTGAAAATAAAGTTTACCTATACTTTTTTATGTTCGCAAAGTTTCCCTCCAGGCCCCGAAGAAGGCGATGCTGCCGAAACATCAACCTTGCCCGGATAAAAACTAAGTAACACCTCATGTTTGCTCAACAAGAATATCGAGAAAGTTTTAAGAATTTATTGCATCACTTTCTTTTAGAATTATCTAAAAGTACACGATGATTCTAACATTCTTCCAATAATAAAAATTGGAACAGAACCCAAGTGGGCAAATGAGGAGTCTTTTCTTAGCTTCTTAACGACGATAGTGGCATTAGCAACAATTTCCAAAAAGCTAGTTTTTCACCGTGTCTACAACGAACTTAAGGGAACGTGATTTATTGCCACACCTTCAGCAAATGGAAAGCATATAATGTTATACCTATTTATTTTCTGCCTACTAAAATTTCGCGGCAGGGTACTAAGCGAAATACAACCACAACGTTGCTGAGATATTTGCAAAACTCTGGACCGCAGGTGTCTATGCTGGGGAACGAACGCGCTATTATCCTTTCCGGGGAGTAACGCGTTCACCACCACACCATGCGAGTCCTTCGTTTCGCCTGTCTCTCAGCTATGTCTATCGATCTTTGCCACAGCAATCACCCGTCAGCGGGATTGATCTGAGGCGCCCAAATCGGCATAGAACCCAGTTAAGCTGCAGCTGTAGTTAAAATCACAATGTTAAACCTTTTTATTTTCTGCCTACTATAATTTCGCGGCAGGGTACTAAGCGAAATACAACCACGCCTGAAACGAAGGACCGGCATGGTGTGGTGGTGAACGCGTTACTCCCCGGAAAGGACAATAGAGCGTTCGTTCCCCGCCATAGACACCTGCGGTCCACAGTTTTGCAAATATCTCAGCACTTCATACGAGTTATATTTCACAACATACCTTGCCATTAAGAAGAAAAAGGCAGTAAATAAAAGAGTTAAAATCAAATAAATGTTGCAAAAAGTGAGGAGCCGTATAGCACCACATTCTAACCCTATCAGTGTTGCATAAACAGTTCGTTCACGTAACAAATAAACATAATTTCTTTATTTCTCAAATGGAAGTGTTCTGGGCTAACGAAAAGAAAATAATGTCAATTCTTTGGCTTTCTAAGTCTTCTTGTTCTTTTTTAACGGATCGAATAGAACGAATGTGGGAAGATTGAGAATGTCATCAGGAGATCTACGAAAGCACTATGATATGTCGTCAATATCAGAATCTGTTCTGTTGTCAAAGAAACAAATGGCAACCCGCTAATACAGCATCGAAAGCATCAGAAATAACTCCGGGTTTGCTACGTGCACATAAAGTGATGTAAAGAAAAAAATTGTCTTCTCCTCGAAATAATGTTTTCATTTAGTGTTTTCACCTTTCGTTTGAATGCCATGCTGGAATCAGCCTCATAAGAAGTTGTACGACATACAGACGCATCTTTTTATCAAATGCGAACAAGATAAGCATTTGATGAATGACAAGGACCGATGTGAAAAGGGTAACGAAGAATTCCACTGTGATAGGAGATACACGACTTCAATAACACCGCTCTGTCTGTTTTTCATCAACACAATTAAAAAGGCGCAAACAACAAATCCGCCTTATTGGTTGCGTTAAATATTAGATTTTGGTGATCTTGACCCGCTTGGTGTGGTGGAGAACACGTTAGACCCCAAAAAATGTAGTAGCGCGCTCGTTCCCCACCGCAGATATCTGCGGTCCGGAGTTTTGCAAATATCTCAGCATTATTGTGTTTGTATCACAAATATTGGATTGTTTAAAGATCCTTGTTTTATATCACCCTGTACCTTCAAAGCAGTATATCTACACTCAGGAGGAAATTTCATTAGTCGAAATAAAAACAACCAGAATTTGCACATTTTTAGCAACGAGAAATACTGTTGTGCCGATTTCATAAACTTCATGCATCTAGAGCTAATGATGTAGTTGAAAGCAGTTTCGACCTTGGCTTGGTTTTCTGAAACACTTCTCGTACAGCGAATTGTCGAGATGTTTAAAAAAGTTGTAATAGATGGGCGAAAGACCTAGCAGGCAAGGTGAATGAAGCACAATTTCGTGGGCCAGCTCGTTCAACCTTTGTAATTTCAGCTGTACGACCTGTCTCTGCTTGATCGTGAAAGAGCATAGGTGATTTTCTGTTGATCAATGAGAGATGCAGCCGTTGAAGGTATTGGTGCATCCCGGCAATTTTTCGACAACAAAATGTATTCTTTCACCGACAACATGACACGAGATGGATAAGTAGCATTATTCGGCCAAAGTTTTGACGTCTACGTCTTCCTCAGAACCGATAACCCGTGTCGATATCCACAACCAATGTCTTCTCAATGCTGTATCTTCGTCGTCGTTTTGAGTCGGATCTACTTCAGGGAAGCATCGTATGAATGATGCAACCTCATGCAGCAATGCTCTTTCATACGAGACTGTTGTTGCTGATATGATTGCCCAGTGGAAACAACTTGTTTTCACCGGGGACGACAGTGCTATCATCAGCTTGCACAAAGCATGACAGTATTTCCAAAACCAACTTTTCTTCCACCTTGGCTTAATCAATCGACATGTATTCTTCCATTGATAAGCTAACGTATGGTTGACAAATAACATTTGCTCTGCTTATTCAGTTATTTCAAAATCTTTGGGAAGCTTCGACCTAGATTTCCTACAACTTCTCGAGCAGTTGCACCGAGCGACGTGCTACGTGTATACTGTAGGCACCTTTAACCACTCCCTTATACAAGTCCCATACCAACTTTGTTATAAACTGAAATTTTTCAGCATCTGACGTACAAATACTGCCTGTTTTGAAATAAAACGAATGGAAGCGCTGTAATGCAAATCATATGTGTTTTAATAACTGTTAATAGCAATACCACTTTGTTCGAAGACACAAAAGACGGAGGCCAAAGATGTTAAAAATTTTCGATGTGTTTCAAATACCCCAAAGATCGGCTAGCACTTGGACTATCCACAACGTCAAATAACGAAAATGTCCAATCAGGAGCAAATGTTTTCTTATTGAATACACACCATGACTACTTCGAGACCTGACGAAACTTCCTGCTAGACCTATTGTTACAACACTGGAACAAACTTGCCATGCTTCGGCGATCCTCGGTGAAATGGATGGGAGGGTTCTGCAGGCTACAGTACTATTCCATTCATTTTCCACGGTGATGTACTGTAATGGAATTTTAATTCCTTCCGGAGAGTGATAAAAGAGAAATGGGACACTGATTAAAATCTGTATTGGGTGGGAGAAAACAACACCAACGTAGAGATAGGAATCTGTTATGCGAGCAATGAAGCACAATGTTAACTAAGGTATCAACTTATTGACTCCGAAATTACGGAGTTGCGAGTGTGCACAAATGCGTGGAAAGTTATCAATGATCACTGAACAAGGAGACTATCTACTTTAACACATTGACGACCACTGTGTGCTGTGCTCATCCCAGCACTTGTATTCGATTGGTTTCCTCGCATATATCGTCTACTAAGGTCTTTAAGTTTTTCTATGTTGACTAAGTTTTTGGATTTCTTACCAATGCATTTAATGCTGCTCGAGTCTATTATCCCTGGAGTCTTGAGAAAGCCGGTTAGAGCGTTCCTACTTCGATTAATCTTTTCCCAGACAATTCTGGTGCCAGTTTGCCAACCTCGAAATGATGTTGAGAGGAATGGGTGATCCGGCGCTGTGTGGAACTAGCACCGTACTGGTGGTCGTCATCGCTATTATTGGACTACTCGGCTTCTAGGTTATGCAGTCGGAGCACAAAATCAACACCATTGAATTGGCGAAATTCTTAAGGACTTCGTCAAAAAATCTCACTTGTTGTGGGGAGTATTTGGAAGATCCGTATATATTGGAGATGGCTGTTTGCCGAGTCAAGTCGCGCGACTCTTCCTTTAGTTCCCTGGTAGTGCACACAGAGGTGGCTATTCGAAACATGTTTCTCACAATCGCCCTCCTTGTGTGTGAAGGGTGGGAAGAAAGCAAAAAATGAACAAGGATGTTCTTGTTACTTGGCTTTCGATACCACTTTGTCAGGTAACCGCTACTTGATAGGTTTATTTGGACGTCCAAAAACGGAAGCCAGTTTTCTCTCGGTTTCTCCCGGGTGAACTTTATGTACTCAGACTGCTCGTTCAATAATTCAAAGCATTTGTCCATCTCCTCCTGCATAGAGAGGACGACAAAACAATCATCTACATATCTGCACTAGAGTAGTGGCCGGAGATCAAAAACAGGGGCTTCTATCTTAGACATAAATGCAATGGCAAGGCTCAAATGAAGAATTTGATTGCTGTATGAAGACGGAAAAAGTTTGAAACTCCCGCTCTCTGGAGCGGAGACACTCTTCCCTTGAACATTTTCGCTAAGAGCAAAGTCGCTCAAACTCTTACGAAGTTTTTCGAGTACAATGAGGTCATAGCGGGCATTTCTATGTCGACACAAACTCTACTTCACTAGAAGCTACCCTGTCACTTTCGCAAATTGTCAAAAGTACTCGACTGTCACCCCTTCGCCATCAAATAGTAGTTGTAAGTGCTCACAGCTACTGCAGCGTAATGGTCCGATCTGTCTCTGCTACAATGTTCACCGATGACATAATAGACTTCGGTTGCCACGGAGAGAAACGAAAACGAGCTAGCGCTTTCATATCCTTTAGATTGATATTTCCTACGGTAAGTTTCAAACTCTCTCCTTTTGATGGAGAATACGTTATAAATCATTTCACTGCTTGGTCGTTGTTAATCAGTGAAATCCGTTAAAGTAGCCGTCTGTGTTAGGAGTAACCTCAAATTTCAAATTTATTCAAACGGAACGATTGGATGATCGTAAACGGATAGATTTATAGGTATTTTTTGCCTATTGCTGAACAAGTGGTGTGCATCGCATTGATGATCTTCTTCGAATCGCCAACTCTCACACACAGATTGTTCAGCACGTAGACGTACTTCAAGGCGTAGTCGAACTGAAATCGCAAAAGGAAAGCTATTCACACCTGCAAAAGTATGGTATTATTTCAGCTGCGTCCTCATGTGTTTAGCTTCACAGATGTGACTTGATATCAAACATCTTAATCACCTAAGAATAAAACTCATGCGAGGGTTTGCCTTCTATGTCGTTAAACGAATTTCTATGCAACAGGTCTTCCTCAGCAAAAACCGGAGATAACAAACTATAACAGCACATTACTAATAGTTCCACTCAATCAATCCCACTGACGGGTGATTGCTGATGGCAAAAGATCAATAGAACTAGCTGAGAGACAGGCAAAACGAAGGACCTGGATGGTGTGGTGGTGAAGTGCGCTACTCCCCGGTAAGGACAATAGCACGCGTTCGTTCCCCACCGCATACACCTGCGGTCCGGAGTTTTGCAAATATCTTAGTATGACTGGAATTACTAATAGTGCTGCTAATCTAGTGACGTCAGGAACTAGAACTGTGTGTGAGCGACCCCAATTATGAGCTGATGACGGACTAAGGTTTGCTGAGTGCTTCATTACTATAGCAGTTAGTCCACCTTACATAGCAGATACCCACAAAGTTGCTCAAGTTGTCTTTAGCAACAGAATTCCGTGTAGGTATAGCTGCCTAAGAGGTCAGAAGGAAATACTTGTATAAATTGAATGTCACTTAAGTAGACAGTTGATTGGCCTTCTGTCTCTCATTGTTGAGTGTTTTTAAACGCCATACTAAACAAGAATATAACAACAGCAACCTTTAAATAACTACAATTGCACCCCAATCATTACAAACTTAGCTGACCCATCTTCAAGTGCTTAGAAGGCGACAGAACTCCTAGCCAATTCGTTAATTCTCAACTTTCATCGCCTAAGGTGTTCCGGCTTGTGTGAGCTTTCGGGTGCGCATATGTGATACGTAGAATTTTGTATATATTAGCAGGCTGGGTGCTGATTAAGCGTGGATATCCCTACAATCCCACTGTAGGTAGTTACCATAGAAAGTCACTTTACGTTATCGGTATGCACCAAACTTATTGCTTTGCGACTATAACTCTTTCTGCAACGCTCCTGCGATCTCGGTATTTATGTTGTCTGTGGGAAGTGGTAAGAAATAGGTTTCAAAATGATAAAGTTTTGTAAGACAACCACGTCCATCCCGATTTCCATTTAGTCTACCAGTTAGGCGTTACGCAGGATGATAGACAACAACTTCCAACATTTTGTCCCTTCAGTTGCACCCAATGTTCTAATCTGTTCCATATCTGACATTCAAAGCATTGCTGAACTTCGCTATATTTCGGTGAGCTGATTCCATATTTTACATGCATTAACGATAACAGGGTCATACCTTGTTCAGGTCGATACAAATCGAGTCGAAAGCCTTTACCACATCGTTATGGCACTTCATATCATCGAGAGGTTCTCTTCCCTCGATCATTTCTTTCCTAGATTTTCACTGCTCCAATTACTGCAGTGGGAAAAACTGCATAGCTTATGAATTATTGATCGGAGCAGAGCTCAATGAACCGAGTAGAACAATAAGGATACCTGTGGTTAGCGTTAGGAAGAATATTGCTCACTAGACGATTGAACAGATCTTCAATGTTGCGTCTATCCTAAATAATATAGTTTATTAGAAAATAATTCTCTTGTTCCAATCCAGGAAACTCAAGGCAAAACACACATTTATAATACGAACTGCAACCACCAGGCTACTGAGATATGAGGAAAACTCCAACTTTTAAGGTGGCTTCGAGCACACTACCTTTCCAAGATACTCAGCTGATCATACCAACCGAGACCCTTGCTTTGCTTTTTTATTTAGACTTTGAAAATCATTTTCTCTTTGGCCTCTTATGCTAGCTTTTCTTACCATTTATCCTAGTTAGTAACATTTGAAAAATCAGGAAAAACTTTAGTTGAAGATGAGGGTTGAACTGTTTTTATGTTCACAACGTTTTAAATCGTACCTCATGGATTTTAGTGATTTTTTGCTTCAGCGCTTCCGAGACTACCATGTTGTTAGTCGTTTTTTGCAGTTCTTGAAGATGCATAAGCTCTATATCCCTAGCAGGCCAAGATGCCCCTGGATATCGTGCCTAAATGGAAATTCACTATACATAAGTTATTTAGAACTGTTCCGTGACTATTTTAAAGTTCCACTGCCCACTGGCTTAATTAATTACCGCAGTCCGAAAATACTGCAGAACTCATTTCGAGGAAAAGAATTCTTCGTCTTGGTTTTAAAAAACCTGCCAACCTCAGAGTAGCAATTTCTCAGTGAAAATGGCGTCGGTGTTGGCTCTTCGTCTTTCCCTTCAAACCAGCTTACTGGTTCGCATATAAATTTGAGGCTACCGTAGCGCATCACATGTGTTTCATTTGTTTGTCTCTTCACATCTTCGTATTGCATTAGTAGCGATTCCAGATCAATGTTATGCTGAAACAAGAAGTGATTTCTAGCATTGAAAACCTTTATAAATGAAACGAACTAGTCTATTTATAGCTCTGTAGTTATATTTCTTTTATGTCACAGTGTTTACTGCTTTCGTCAATTGCTTACAAATGAGATGCATTTGACTCAAATTGTAATCTTAGGGCCGATTGGATGTATATTTACTCATACAATGACTTGCTCCGATGTCCCAAGTTGGTATTTTACGCTATTAGACAAGTCTGATACCAATTTGCTAACCTCAAAATGATAGAAAACTCGGTTTACGCCGTGCCTGCGCCTAAACTAAGAGCCACGCATGAATTGTAATGCGCCTCTTACGATTGTGCAACAGGCACCGCTGGAAAAAAATTTATTATTCCGATACGAGGCAAGTTCCTACGCCCTGCGCTGAGTAGTCTGGAATGATAACGTTATCAGTGATTGCAATCTGCTTGCTATTCTTCAAATCACAACGGCCAACATCGTATACGGAAGCGGTGTTGCTCATGAAGACAATGCTCACCCGTACTGGAATTTCTCGTCAATTCTTCCTTACCAGTCCGTATTTATAAAGCGCTTTTCAGCTCCTTTTCGCAGGCAATCAGTCCCTCAAAATAAACTGGGGAAGATAAAACATGTTTGATTAGTTTAGAGAGGTCGTTCATGGCACAAGAGCGATAGGGAAAAGGCTTTTCTTCGAGTCTATCGTGTTCGAATCGTTAACTTCCTAAGTATTTTAGTTACTAAAAGATTGTTGGCAGTTATCGAAAAACTGTCATCGGTTCGGTTATTATGCATCGATAAAATGGTTTATTAATCAATTGAAAGCTTCTTCTGCTTGCTGTAATTTCATTCCACAGCACCTCGGATGAACTTTTATCGCTGACCAATTTTTCTTTTATCGGTCACTGGAAGGAATTTCGAGCATTACTGTACAATACACTCAGAAATAATCAACGCGGAACTGTACCCTTTCGGAGTCATCCATCCAGTTCACCGAGAAGAGATCGCCAAGGCAAGGTAGGCCCATGTGATTGTCGCAATACGTGGCGAATGATTGCTCATAAGGATTCGTTGCAGTCATGGCGTATACTCAAATGAAAAGCAATTATTCCCGATGCACAAGTGACAATGTGAATTGGTATCAACACATACGCTTTTATTTTCTGCAAAGAATTTGTTGTTTCACTTTTCTTATTCGGTCGAATAGCTAATCCACTACAGATGTTGCGCCAGTCGTTGTCTATAGAAATCTATCCCTGCCTTTAAGAATCTACAAAAAACCTTTTTCCGGATGATTATTTAGATTGACAACCACCACAGCAAAAAGCTAAGGATTCTCCCAAGAGACCACCTCACAAAATTAGGTGCAGTCGGATATACGCTGGCTATACAAAATTTTCAATTTGAACACAGACCTTTGATTTATACTGCTGGTTGAATTTTGATGTAATAAAACAAATTACGAGGAAAAAGGCCCCGATTTTGGACAGCTTCGTTCCTAGTCGATTTGCAGGCTGCATATTGTACCTCCATTGATTGGTCGCGGCATTCAAAGCATTCCGATGAGTTCGTTCTTGCTCTCGCACAGTAAAGACCAATTTAAAAGAGCCTCTTATTTCAAAAAACTCAGAATTAGGACAGGACATAGAAGTTGTCCATGTGCGACAAATATCTACAACTAACTGTTCAGTGTTTTCCACAGTGTTCCCTCAAACATTGAACCGCTTTCACATGACTCCAGGTAGAATACTAATTGACCATAGAGTTTGTTGTAGTACATTTGTTGGAGTGCTCTGTTCAAAGCACCTTTCGTTAGCTGAAATCTGATATATGACAGGATAGTCACTGAAGCACATGGTTCACATAAATAGTCGTTTATACCACTTGCGAAGAAAATTTTGTAAGTTCCTTACCAGATCGTTTGGAAAGCCAAGCACACCTGCTCCACCGTGGTCTGCGAAGTATACGAAGATACGGTCAGTAGACTGGCTGAATTTACAAATCGGAACATCGGTTTTCAGCAGGTAAAGTTTTTTTTAACTTCATTACTCACCTAACGATGACTCTTCCAGTCCCACCCGTTACATTTTGTGAATTACCTTGAAGAACATTTATAAAATTTCTACTCGTTACCGAATCGCCCTATAAAGAGAGAATACAGTCTTTCAAATCAAGATCATACTACCGAGTCAACGCCTCTTCTTTTCTACACTTCAGCGGAGAGAAGATATTTGAGGACACTCTCATAAGGCACCGTATCAGTATCCAATCTTTGAATCTTATTAAACTGACAGCGTAGTCAACAACCAGTCCAGCGTGGACATCTTCACCATTTGGTCGATTGAAGAGTTTCCCAGGAAATGGGTTTCTGGAAAAAATTGCTCCTTTAAAAAAGGCAAACGACAATCTCCATATGCAAATTCTCTCAAATTGTTCTACAGCACACATCGCAAATACATAAATGTAGAGAATTCATGTCTCCGCACAGCAATTAGCAATTTTCTGAGAATCTTGGTCAACGCAGATCTAATAACAAAAACATCCTTGTTCATTTCCTGTCTTCTCAACCTTCACACACAAAGAGGGCGTTTGTGAGAAACATGTTTTGAACAGCCACCTCCGTGTGCACAAGTAGGGAACTAAAACTGAACTAGACTAAACTGACGCGGGAAACAGCCACTTCCAATGGCTACGAAACTGTAAAACCTCGGCAGAGGTGTAGAGGAAAGCCCAAGCCCCAAACGATAACTCTAGCCACAATAAGGTCCCGTTTATCCTACCCTTCATCTCAAACGACCTGAGTGCAGCTATAACACACTGCTTACGAAGGGCCCGTCTAGAGAATTCGGTAAGAATAATCAAAAGACCACCACTCTAAGAAGCCAACTAGTTCGCAACCACCTATTTGGCCGCCTATGTACAGTGCAGAATTGCATAATTTGCCCTAGTGGTAGACGCAATAAGCATGTGTTCGGATCCAGTTTATCTGACCTCTTGTAAAGTTTGCGGAGACGAATACATTGGCGGAACGAGTTGACCCCTCTGCAGCCTGATGAAAGAACACCTAGCTAAACTTAAAGTCAAACCAAGTACGCCACTAGACACACATAAGACACAGAGACATAATAGGAAAGATTTTGAAGTAGAAGTGACGATCCTTGCGCAAGAGTCGAAAACACAAGCGCACAAAATTTCCGATGCATTCTGGATTAACTCCAAGAATCTGAAAATGAACCGCAGGGAGGAATGCCTCATAATCACGCGTGATATTGGGCAGTATTTGAGACTACTGTTTTGATGTTACAGGCATACTACACTTTCATGTAAACTCTGTGCGGTTGGTCTCCACCTAAAATACTAAGTGGGGTACTCTTAGAAAGCGGTGAGCATGCGATGAAGCTATTTTGCGTTCAGTGTGATTGAAATCTTGATTTAGCATTTTCTATGTTTGGTTATGGAAGTGTTTGGCTGGGTAGATTGCTGTCAACTTGACCTTTCCAGGCTCTGAGGAGGGCGAAATCCGCCGAAACGTCAGCTCGTTGTTGAATAAAGAATAAAATAACACCTCTCGTTTGCTCACAAGAATTTAAAGAATTATTTGATCATTGCCGAGGCTAATAGAAAATCGATCATGGAAATTATCACGAGGCGTGCCAACCCTCCGATTGTTTCTGAGGAGAGGTGTCCGTTGATAACTTTGAAACACTTGGAGTTTTTAGACGAAGACGAAAATTTTGAATAAGGGTGTTTATCATCAATGCTTCGACAGCACCTTGCCAAAAGCCTGCTGAATATGTAAACAGATACAATTAGCGGTAGTATTAAGGTTTTGTCTCCAAGATTTTGCTGCTCTCTCTTTTTTGAGCAAAAGGAGCTCTTCCGGAATGCTCTTGGTCTTCATGACAAATTTGTGCAGCCGCTTATCCTGTTCATTCCGTACCATTCCCGAGGCATCGACTTGAAGTTCTCAGGCATTCTCTTGGATCCAATCAAGGCTTTGAAGTGGATGACAATAATCTCGAAGAACGCGTGATCTTCCCCGTGATAATTTCGCCAAGTCCGTATAGAATACTCTCAGTTTGCGTTCCTCGTAGTTTGATTTTGGAGAGCAGATGACCAAGGTTCTCAAAGCCAGTATTCGTACATGGCTTTTCAACGGTAAACGTAGTGATTCCAAGAAACTGTATTTTGGCGTAATAAAGGAATAAAAGGGTAAAGCTCTCAGCGTTGATCAATCCTTCAGAGGTGTACCATACAGTCTACTGCTTTACGCATCGTTGGAGGTTGCTAAATGTATATCTGGCTCTTGCAATAACTCGCGATGGCCTACCGATGTATCGAGTCAGTGTTGCCATTCTTCCATACAAGTCTGAAAGCAATTTACCAACTTCAGAGGAATGGAGGGCCCGGTGAGCTTGGAGCGCAGGGATCGATCCTATGTGTATTGCGGGACGCCTCCGACTACTGAGCTACACGCTCCATCTGTATAATAAATGACCTTTAATGGCTGGTGTCTTCTCGTGCTGGAAACTCCGATGTTGTGCTTAATCTTCATGAACGGCCTGGTCTTCATCGGAAGATTGCATGTGGCTAAGTACAAATTATTATCTCAACCTTTCTGGATTTTGGCAGCCTATGATGGCCTAGAAACATCACTCGCAATCCCAATATTTGTCTTGCTTCCAGCTACCGCGAGCTCTTTAAAAATAAAAGTTGTGACGCCCATTATTTTTTATTGTTTTTGGAGATTAAAATGGATAACTCGCCAAGCATTGAATTGGGTATTGGGTATGCTCGCAGGTAGCTTAGTTGCCTTTGTCAATGTAGACGAGTATAATTCTTATAAATAAATAAATCGAGTATAAATATAATTCTTAAAGGGGTCTCTTAGCCAGCTCTCTGTGTATCCACCTAAGTAAGGTGTTTTCCTGAACTGGTTTGCAGGATACAATACACATACCCACAAAAGCCACCAAGCACCATGCATAAAAATACCAATGTAACTAAAGGTGATAGTAACCACTTACTCATTGACCGAGAAAGACCTATCCTAATTCACTATTAACCGACAGTATTTCTCAATGATGAAGCTTTGTGAGCATTGTTGAATAGAAATATTATTAATAGTTCCTCATTTTTACGTTACATCGAGCACAAATTTGAAGAGGTGCGACGTACTGCTAAGGAGGTGAAGAACGAAAAGCCTGGAGTTTAAAAACCTACTGTGGATTACTGGCGACGTCGTCGTACATCATCACTATTATATTTTCTGTAGGAACTCCTTTTTTTACTAGCATTTGATAGGCGTGTGCGACGTTAGCCTAAAATAGCATCATAAAATAGCTTGTTTAGCATAGGATTGAAATATCCTTCTATTATTGAATGGCTATTCATCACTGAATTCATTAGTCACAGACCTTATCATCGAATAAAAAAGTGAAAACGCCACCTTACCTCCTTTCCTCTAAGTGATCAATTTTTTCTCCCTTTTGCCAACGTGTAATAAATCCACCCACCTGGTGTCGATAGTTCCACCATCCACTTGAGCCAGCTACGAGCAGAGCATACAGGGTTCCCTGTGGTCTAGCAGATAACTCAGCGTCATGAACATCTCTCAAAAATGACGTTTAATAACTTCTCGCAAAAACCATTTTACTCGTGGATTTAATAAGTCAGGCCCAATGTGAGCAACTGTCGAAAGATTTTCAGTAACTCCCACGACCGACTTTCTATTAACCTCGGCATTGATCAAGTAATTCTTCGTATTTTTGTTGAGCAAACGCGAGGTGTTATTATTCTTTATTCACAAATGAGCTGACGTTTCGGCGGATTTCGCCTTCCTCAGAGCCTGGAAAGGTCAAGTTGACAGCAATCTACTTGGCCAGACGCCTCCATAACCAAACAAAGAAACTCTAAACCAAGATTTCAATCACATTGAACACAGCTTTGCACACTCACCGCTTTCTATGAGGTCTCCACTAAGTATGTCACGTAGAGACCAACCGCACAGAAATCACATGGAAGTATAATGTACCCCACGCATCAGAATAGCAGTCTTATATACTGCCCTACATCACGCGTGATAATAAGGCATTCTTCCCTGCGGTTCATTTTCGGATTTCTGGAATTAATCCAGAGTGCCTCGAGAGTTTTTCGCGCCTGTGTTCTTGATTCGCGT